CTGTCTTGGATGGTATGTCCTCTGGTCTCATCCGCCCGAGAACTTCCAACCATGTCTGCTTGAACGTATGAAGTTTGTTGTCGCCTTGGTACTGGAGCTTCACCAAGTACTCGAGAGTGATGATCATGTCGAGACGGTCATGCGTTCGAAAGCTTTCATACATCATCGCAATGATTTGTCGTCCTTTGATGATCTTCCCTTCGGGCCTGCTGATGTAATCATTGGCCTTCCGGTTCACCTCCAGGTACAGATCAGCAGATTTGTCACCACCAGCGCGTAGCATTGCGACCATGGCGACTCCCAATTTGACGTCTATGCTCTTGAACTTCTTGTGTCCTGAATCGTTCAATGCTTCGACATCGGGGAATGGATTGAAAGCTGGTGCCAGCCACAACATCCAGTCCTCATGATTTGGGTCGGCTGACGCTCCTAGAACATTCGCCGTGCATACTGACCGCCAATTGTTCAGGTGAGTGAGAACAGGCCATGGAGGGACCGTCACTTTATCGGCCTCTCTCCTGGAAATTCTCACCTCCGTGACCTCAGGATCTGCGTCTCCGTCAGGATCACGCGCATGAGGGTCAGGATCCGGCTCAGGTTTGCCTCCACCGTTCTTCTTCTTATCATCTCCGTCATCATCAGGCGGATCTGGAGGGTCATACCTTGTGCCGGCACCTTCATCTTGCTCTCCATCTTCGTTCTCATCGCCAGCTTCATCACCGTCATCGTCTCCATTGTCTTCCTGCATCGTTTCAGCGAATAATCTCCACTCATCACGATCAGCTCTGAGACGTTGTTCGGCTTTCTGGGCCTTGAGTACTTCGCTTCGCAGATCAGCAATCTTCTCTTCGTACTGCTCCGCGATCTCTTTCTCGATCTGACGTCTCCTTGCCTCATGGATGGAGGCATCGTAGGTGACAGGGGTAGCCTTTCGGGCAACATTGGGATCGTTGCCCTTCATAGATGCGATAATGCCGTCGATATCAACAGGTCTTGAAGAGCTGGCAGATGCTGTGGACTTTGATCCCAACATCCCGCGATCCTCCAAGAGTTCACGTAGCTGTCGGTCACGTACAGCTGCCGCATCACTTTGTCCATGAAATCCACTTGGTATGCCAAACAGAGTGGCTGCACTAGGCGTGGAACGCGCATGTGCTGGACTGCTATTGCCTGGCACGTGGTGCTCGGGCATTGCATCCGCCTCAATTGGCGTTGTGTAGGACTTATTGGCCTCATTTTTGATGTTGCCAGTGAAGAAGTTTCCACCGGTGAATGGAATGCCATCCATCGCAAGGTTCTTGTCCTTGTTCGATTCCGAGAATGCGAACTTCTCTTTGGCGACTGGACTAATCTGACTTGGGGACCGTATTTCAGGGGATCGTACCTCACCTCCTACGGAAAATGCAGGCACTACATCCTTTCCTACGTGCTCCCAGCCAGACTCAGTAGTCCTCGAAGACATTGGCATGCTCGAAGGCCGTACCACTCCGCCATGGTAGTTGGAGTTCCGTGCTGCCTCCAATTCGCTGCGTGTCCTTGCTTGAAGATCTTCTTGTGCTTTGAGCGTTTTCCTGAGTTCACTCAGCTCGTCGTGCAAGGTAGGCAATGCGTGCCTTGCATGATCCTTATTCTGATGGAGTCGGTCCTCTGCATCTTGCATCCTCTTCACAGCCATTTTGCGGTACTCTTCCTCCTCGCCAAGACGTTCGCGAAGCCGAAGTCGTTCTTGATCAATGGCTGCACTGTTCCCAGCCAGCCCCTGAATCTCGTTTATGGCTCGCAATTCCTGATTCCTGACCAGGTGGAATCGTTCCTGCATTGCTTGCAGGGCTTGTTCCGAACTTGCTGTGTTCGACCTGAGGAACAAGTTCTCTCTGGCTTGTTCATGAAGTTCATGAGTCAAATGCTCATACTCACGTGCCATAAGCTCACCATCGCCCTGCGCTCTTGCCTCCAACTGCACAAAGTTAGTGGCCGCTTCCGTGCGAAACACATGTAGCTGTTGAGCTAGTTCCTCGGCAACGGCGTGTGCTTGACGTTGTTGAGCAGAGTTTTGCTCATCCATGCGAAACAAAGCTGTTTCATAGTCTCGCTTCATCTCCTGATTGACATTGTTGATGTGCCTCATGGCTAAGCATGCATGGTCACGTTGTCGTTCCAATTCTTCGATGCGAATCCCAGATCCTTCATCTTCTTGTTGCATCTCCTTGATCTTCTCCATCAGGGTCTGGACAACACCTTCGTACTCCTGCACTTGACTGCGATAGTACATCTGCTGTGCAAGATTCGATGCTTCAAACTGTTGCGGAATCGTCAATCCCTGGTAGGCATTCGGACCATCGGCTATGGCTGGTGTAGTCACCGACGAAGCGTCACCTCGTGCAGGGATCGTATCCAGAGTCATATCCAGATCGTCAGCTTCGCGTGGTTGATTGGTAACCATTCGATTCCATGTCATGGACTTGTCACGTCCACGAGTGGCCGAAGTCCTTGATCGTGCTGAAGAGCTTCTCGAAGATGATGGTCGCGGCTTCTTTTCCAAAGTCTTCACTCCCTTGTCCTTTGCCCTCGACGGGGTCCGAGGTGCCTGAAAACCAGACGCTTCGGATCGTCGTTCTGGAGCCTTGCTCGTCCTCGAACCTGTGGATGTTGGACGCGAAGGCGTAGATGCTCTTGGTAGACTCTTTGCTTTTGCTTTGGGAACTGCCTTTGCAATGGCAAGCGCAGAAGACTGACCTTTGTCATCTTCCGTGGAGCTATCAACGGATTGCACCACTGTGTCATCAGCTGTTGATTCACCAACGGCAGGCGCTGCCACGTCGGCACCGAAAGTCATTGTCGTATCCTGACTTGATCCCGAGTTCATTGTGGTCGTAGTAGATCAAGTAGTCTTTGCTGCAGAAAGGCAGAGCCGCGTACGGCTGATAACCTGCGTGGGGATTTGATCTTGATGATGTTCTCTGTCGCTCACCCCACAAAGAGCTATATTGACTGTTGGCGTGGTTGCCCTCTACAGATTGGATCACTGTTACTTCCACTTCCACACACGCACTCCTATGCAGGCAGATCCAGCGTTCGCTCGTTTTGCACACTCACGGCCGGCGGTGGATCGTCTGTGCACGGGATAGCTCTGTCTACTCGGAGAATCACAGAAGATTATAGCACTTTAGCTATGGGCAATGCTTTCTAGAGCTTGTGCTCATTCTTGAGCCAAACGTTGCATGGGCGGTCATACTGAAAGGATGGATAGGCATTGCGGTGTGCGTAGCACTACCACAAGCCTACTCCTAGAGACGAGGGACGCGTAGCGTGCCCTCTTCCCTTGCACTTTACACGGTCTTGCTCACAGCTCTTATAGTGACACCTTAGAACTTGACAAGGCATCGCAGTCCGTTCGCATTATATATTATATATTAAATATAATATATAATATATTATATATAATATATTATATACTATATATTATATATAATATATTATATATTAAAAATATACAATATATATATATATATTATATACTGTATATTATGTATTATATAATATATATTATATTTTATATATTATATATTATATATTATATATTATATATTATATATTATATAATATATATTACATATTAACAAATTATATGTAATATACTATATATTTTACATTCAGAATTTATATGTTATTTATTATATACTATTTATCATGTATTCTATGTCATTTTATATATATATATATATACTACATACTAAACATTCTATAATACATACTGCATATTATATATTATTTTTGATATGTTGTATATTTTATACTGTGCATTTTATATTGTATATCTTCTGTTGCATGTTACGTATTATGCATTATATATGATACATGATATATTATATATTACATATTATAGATTAAATATATATTGTCTATTTTACACATATATATATATATATATATATATATATATATATATATATATATTTATAAATTGTATATTACTTCTATATGGGAAGCAAGCATCTGGTTGTGCGAAAAATACACCCCTCCTAAGGGAAAAACACTACTTTCATGCGAAATTGCACCGCGCCTGGGAAAAACTGCATTTTCAGCCAAAAAATGCACCCCGCCGAGGGAAAACTAGGATTTCTTAAAAATTAGCACCGCGCCGAGGAAATATTGCAGATTCCGGCAAACTGACTACAGTTCATTTGTGACTCCCGGTTTTCCGTTTCAAAGTTCAAAACAATCGGGTGCATGTGCTGGCATGTACCAAAACCCTGGAAGGGTCTCCATTTTCAGCCGTTGAACCACCTGTCATTTGTGACTCCCTGGTCGGCTGTTGGACAACAAGGTTCGTGAAGACAAACGTTCAAGAACGTCCCAAGAGCCTAGGGAGTCACAAATGACATGCATGCCAGCGAGGGAGGGAGGGAGGGAGGGAGCGAGAGAGGGAGGGAGAGAGAGCGGGAGGGAGGGAGAGAGGGAGGAAGAGAGAGATAGAGAGAGAGAGAGAGAGCGAGCGAGGGAGGGAGGGAGGGAGGGAGGGAGGGAGAGAGAGAGAGAGAGAGAGAGAGAGAGAGAGAGAGAGAGAGAGAGAGAGAGGGAGGGAGAGAGAGGGAGGGAGAGAGAGGGAAAGAGGGAGAGAGAGAGAGAGGGAGAGAGGGAGGGAGGGAGAGAGAGGGAGAGAGAGGGAGGGAGAGAGAGGGAAAGAGGGAGAGAGGGAGAGAGGGAGGGAGAGAGAGGGAGGGAGGGAGGGAGAGCGATGCCGATATGCTACTGGGTCTCTCGGTTCGAGACTGGCCAGCAGAAAAGGGAGCTTACACCTTACCATACTCAAGGATTGTCGCAACACGTCGGCTGTCGCTCTGACAACACCTCTCACTTCAAACGGGAACCCAGAAAACTCAAGTATCACCAGAGCCAGGACGGAGTCAGGCCGTCTAATGTAATCGAGATCCAGCCGAGACCACTAAACTTTTAGCAACCGTCAACTTCAACTTTTGGACCAGTCAGGACGAGGTCACCGTCGTCGTTGTTGGTATGAGCACCATCTCAGACCTCGAAAGAAAAATCAACGACTTGGACCCGGATACCTTGCACTGGAGTCAGTCCCAAGCTCGTGGCGTTATGATGAGTCGCTCCGTCTTGTTGCCGAAACGATTCGAGGTGGAGGCGGGCTGCTGCACAATGTAGACGCATGCCGATGGCGCCACCGTGAAGGTGACGGTCTGGGCTGCAAGTCTAAAATTGCGTTGCACAAGTAAGTAAGGCAAACACAAGTTTTTGGGCGGCCGCATGCAAAGCTCTCCAGTCTCTCGCTCAACCTACTGTGATATAAGAAGAAGCTTGGGGGAGCTTCTCTCACGTTGGCAGCCTTGCTACTCTCTCTCGCCTAACTTACTCCAGTCTGGTTCACTGCCAGCCTGAAATTGTACATATCTATGCATAAGGGAAGTTCGGGCGATCACTAAACAAGGGCTGTGGAAGGTGTTTGAGCCAGTGGGACGCCAACTCGGCGCACTGCTTTGCCCTCTTCGCGGTCAGGTGTCATGCCAGCTTTGACTGTACCGCCACTGTACACGAAAACCCCTGTAAAGACGCTAGGGGGTGCGGGGTCGTGGAGAAACAGGCGGCACCTGTTTCCAGCCCTCCGGATCTATTGGAATGGATTGACCAGCGTGCTCTCGTGAAACTGACGATAACCATAGTAACTAAAGCATCCCACAGCTAGAACAAGCAGCCCGCAGTAGTGCAGCTCTGCAGCTGCCCGCGTGTCGCTGCCCGTGCCATTCCATGGAATCTTGCATCTGCCACCGTTGTCGTTCACGCAGCCTGGGAGATCGGTGTCGGGGAGCAGTTCCAAATGCCCTGCACCCACCCTCCCCTAGTTCTGGCTGTTTCCGCTGCTTGCAAACCATCCGTTTCAGTCGCCACCCGCATCTGTCGTGCTTTGGCCTACGGTTCAATAGCAGGACCCACACGAGATCGACAGAGCAGCTCTGCCGGGGGGACTTGTGCGACGACGCTACTCACTCGCCAATGGACCAAGCAACCCACAAGCTGGCAGGTGCCGCTGTAGGACAGGAAAGCCGATAACATAGCATCGAAGCTGGGCTCTTCGCTGCAGGTCGAGGCCGTCACCACTCGATAGCCACTGGCATCGTTGCAGTATTTGAAGAGCTCCTGCAAGGAAAATCCAAACTAAATGCAGGCTAGTAGCAGCCTGACAGCCAACACTGCGACCTGCCTGGGACTCGTTGTCGAAGAAGTTGCAGCCTGGAAAGATTGTTGTCTGCGAGGCCGCCCGAGATCTGCTGTTGCTGATTGTGAGGGTGCAGGGGGCGTGCGACTCCTGGCACACCTAAGCGGCAAGAGCTTGCATGTCGCACACCTGTGACTGGAGTTCGACTAGGAGGTGCGATGGAGGGGCATCAGGACAGGACATGTCGTTAGGGCGAAAAGATGATGTAGTGGAAGTATGTAAAAGCAACAATGGTCAGGATGCTGTACATTTGACAGAAGGAAGTAGAAACATCTCAAGATTAGTTACTAACCTCGTGCGAAGTATACATCAAATAAGCCCTTATGGTCGTATCATCGCAAGCAACGGCAGGGATGTAAATACTTTTGACGTTTTTAAGTTTTCGAGCACAGGACAGCTCTGTCCTACTGAATTGTCGAGCAGCTTTGGGCGCTGGCTAGTCCAGCCCACTGATTGCTTTAAACTATGGGGTCAGCGCTTTGGGGAACCGATTGATTCGTCGAAGCAACATCACAACATATGACCTTATGACCACCCTCCCCTGAAGGCCACGGTGCTGGTTCTGTTAGCTCCACTCCCGGCTCGCACGGCCCAGGCGGGGGCGTCGCGATCGGGGGCCCCAAAGGGCCGGGAACGATACTCGCAAAGAGCTGCTGCACGCCTGCAGAGTTTTTCTGGATGCTCTGATTTTGCACCGCTTGCGACTCCAAGACCTGCTGCTGTTGCTTCTCGAGAAAGCTTTGATTCTCCATGACTTCCTCGTGTTGCTGCTCGAGATTCCCCACCCATGGAGGCAATGTACTGGTAGAGCCATCGGTTGAATCGTAGGAGTCTGAGCTCTCCAAGCGCTGAAATTGGATTATTTTGTTGGCTGTCTTGCCTCGTGCCAGGCTCTGCGAAACACAGTTCATGCGTCTCCATCGCACCCATGACCTTACTAGAACACTTGTCGAAGTGCATCTTTGATTCTGTGTGAAGGACGTCAAGGTTTCGAAACAGCCAACAAATCCAAAAACCAGAGCAGCCACAGCTCATCCAAGCAACTCTCTGGCCGTGCCCTCTGCGGACACCGCCTCGGCCGCGGCTGACAGCCGGTCGACGGAGTCGAAGAGCTCTTGGCCCGGGGGTGCCTCGAACCTGTGCCCGACCCTCCCCGCTTCAAACATTGTTTGGAATCTGCTTCCGTACGCCTCTGCCGGAGCAGCGCCATCTCCGTCAAGAGCGTGTCCAGCTGGCGCACGGTCTGCCCAAAGAAGCCCTTGCGCACCGCCGCAGCGGCTGCCTCCACGAAGGAGGTCGCGTTCCTGCACAACTGGGCGGGCTCCCCCTGCGGAGCCGCCGCTGCATCGTGGGCTGCGAGCTCCTGCAGCATTCCCGTGTCCACGACCTGGGCGGCCATGTGTCCGATGGCCGCAGCAGCCGCGGCCCAGACTTCGCGCAGGGTGCGTTGCTCGGCGGCGTGGGCGCGGCTGCTGGAGGTGTAGGCGGCCTTCAGCTGTGCGAAGTTGGCGCCGCATCGGGTGTACACGTCCAAGAGGCCAACGGCATGCTGGAAAGACCTGCGCACAGGCAGCGTCTGCCAATCTGTTCCTCTCCGCTTCCTCCTCGTCTCTTTTTCTGATGACAGGCGACACACATGAGGGGGGGCCAGCGGCAATGATTGGCAGGATTGTCATGCACACACTTTGTTAAACCCTTTCTGAGGCTCTCAAGTTGTTAGATAGAGCTTTCTTGCTGGGCTCTGACGCTCTCTATACAGTGCATCTCGGCCTGAGATATGCATCGTAGGAGTCCAGGTACCGGTCAAGCTGTCTACGCAAATCCCACCACGATGCGTCCATCGCTCGTAGCGTTGCCTTGAAAGACAGTTCTCGCAACTCGTCCTGGCGAGTGCGGCCACATTGACATGAAGCAACATGCAAGTCCGGAAAACCGCTCGGCTTGTCCTGCAGGCCCTTATAAAGCGTCGACTGCCGCTGCCTCAGCTCTTTGCATCTCTTTGCTATATATACTCAATTATACTTAAGACATGGTGGTGATATGTTGTGGCGCAGGTGGGACATGTGCGTTGCCTTCTCTTTCCGCCTGGCCTTCTCTTCGAGGCACCCGCATGGTAGATTCCCAGGGTGCGGGTCTTTGCACGCAAGACCTCGTTCATGGTCGCCACGAAGGCCGCCGTCTTTCGTTCTGCGGCCACTGCGCCGGAAGTTTGAATGCGGGCGGAGGCCTGCAGCGTTGCTTTTAGTCTGGCCGTCTCCTCGACAAGCATAGATGCACTCGAGGTCATATTGCCACCCCATCCCTGTCATCATGTCAGGTATGGACTCTTCAGACTTGCTACAGGTCTGAGAGTAGGTCTGCAAGCCTTGGCACATGGTTCCCCTCCCAAGCAACCAACAGCCACAGCTTTGTACGATGACCGAACCAAGATGGAGGAAAACACTTAAAGCTTCGAGCCCCTTCTAGGTTCGGGCAGGTAATGGTAAATCCATTTTGGTCGATGTGCAGTCTCCGTCACACAAGTGGGATATGTTCGAAGACAGCTCACAGCTGTGCATAATCAACGGGAACCAGCTCAAGCCTTACCAGCACTGAGGTATTTCACAGTAATCGGTGTACGGGATTGCTGCCGACTTTAAAGCAGCTCGAAAGCAAAACGCAAACTGTGACAACATGATCGCCTGCAACGCGCTGGCCTTACTCCTCTGTTCTCGGCCCAGAGTCTTGCACATACCCTCAACCTCCCTGAACTATTGTTGGTCTGCCCCCTGCGCCTGGACAGCAGATTGGAAGGCCCGGAGAGCTCGCTGAGAGGCGATCTGTGCAGTGGGGTGCAAGTTCCGCTGGAGCAGTTGCCGCATCTCCCGAACGTCCGTGGCCAGCCCGGCGCGCATCTGCTGGAAGTCTTGGTGCTGCGAGGCTGCCAAAAGGCTGGCAGACTGAGAGCTGTCCGGGACGAATGCCTGGAAGAGGTTGCGCCTCGAGTGGTGTGAGATGGTGGGAGGCAAGGGCTCTGTTTTTCAGCAGCAGCACACGATGTCACAAGCTCAACCAGCGCAGCCAAGCGGCATCTCCCGCTGAAGAACCGAAACACCCTCCTCCAGGCTCGTGAGGATCGCCGCGTCGCCTTTCTTCACGGCATCCCGAACACAGTGGAGGTCACAAAAGATCCGCGCCAGGCCATGCCTTACTGTATTCGGAAAGTGCACCCGTTACTTCCGACCTGGCCGGACCCCAAACTCCAATCTCTTGCGGGATACTGTAAGGAGTTACAATCCTCGTTGTCAGCCGTGGCGAATCGGCTGTCTCTCGCCCACAGCCTCATCTCATTGTTCAGCGTGGACACGCGGCGGAACGCCTTGCACGAAGGCCCCGAGAGCGACCCTACTCAAGCACCCGACCAACCCCATGCCATTGACTCCAAGCATGTGGCTTTCCTACGCTGACCTTGACCGCGTTCGAGGCGATCTTGCCCGTCTTGATGGTGATTCCCACGCCAAAAATACCGACCTGGTGCCAGGCCAGGTACTGCCAAACCCAATGCCCGCGCCTGATGCCAACCCGTAGAACCTCCTGACCGTTGAGCGTCCGAGCCCTGTGGAGAACCCAACTTCATAGTGCGTCCAAGACAGTCTCCTGACCTCCCCTCTCAGAGATCGATAAACCAAGGCACGCTGAAATAGGAGGAATGCGCAAAAAGTGCTTCACCGTTTTCCGGACATGTTTTCACGTGATGAGGAAAACTTCCTGCCTGGACCTCGGGAAGCGCTGCCAACGCGGCCTCGGTCTTCTCCAACTTCTCGAGTCTCTGCTCCCACCTCAGATGTATCGTGAGGCTTCGGCAGGCCATCGCCAAGGCACCCTATAGGGCCAGCTCTGCATAATTGCTTCGTTAGATTAAGCGATATTAAATTAAGCGTATAGAATGAATCTCCGGAGTTGCGCTTTGGATTGCGCATCTGAATTCATGTGGGTTTACAGACCTTGGTCCAGCCCAGCGAATTCCGTGCTGGTTCCAGAATATGTTCAGCAATAGCGAAATGCAGGGCGGAAGGCTACCGAGCCTACACCGATACATATATCCTTTACTTACACTTTACTATGTATATATCTATATGTGTATGTATGTAAATATATACTGTAGTATCTGAATCTATATTAGATCGTGACTGAACCCTTGCACCGCTTGCCACCACTCCCGATCACTTCTCAGCGCTCTGTTCAGAACATGGACCTCAGCGGGCTTCAGCTTCGACACTCTCGCCCTAGGTCTGTGGCTTTCTTCTGAGGCACATCTCGTACTCCCTTTCCCACTGCGCCAGCTCGAAGTCCCGCTTGATCTCCCGACTGGCACACTCCTGGACTTTAAAGTGCTGTCTCGGACCCGCCCATGCACAAGCTTTCTGTGTCTGGACACTTTTTTGAAGATCCCTTCATGCATGAACCAACACATTTAGCTCTGGCGTCGTTGACTGTTTTCGGTGTGAGGCCAGACGCCCCGGGCTGGTCCACATCATCAAGGTTCCACGCGTAGTACGACATCCCTTCGCCTTCATTGTCTATGTCGGACCCGAAGACATCTCCAAAGCCATCGATGTCAGGAATGCCAAAGAAGCTGTCCGGCGGGAGGCCAGTTTTCTTCTTTTTGGTTTTTGGAGTGCTGAAAACTAGGCCACACGGGTTGTCCGTGTCTTTGAGCCCTTCCGCCACCTCGTTCATGATCGTCTGATCAAACTTCTCAGAGCCTGGGTCGGACTCCTCCTTGCACTCGGGCGCGTAGGCCGGATCCTGACGGAAAAGGACAAGGGTAGCAGGGTTTGAAAGGACCAGGTCAGTCCTCGGCAGCGAAGGTCAGCTGAGGTGGCACTTTTCGCTTTGACTGGAGACGCTTCGGCAGCTTGGCTCCGAAGGCCTCGAACTTGGCATCGAAGTCACTCACTGGGACGACCTGCACAGTGTCGACGAGCCTTCAATTAAATCTTCTGCACCTGTGGTTTTGACGTTCCTTACAAAGTATGGGAGAATGCCTTCAAGGCTAAACCCAAAGAAGCCATGTGCTTCCGTCAACTCTTTTAAGCTGTCTGAGTCCCTGCCTTTGTTTCGCTTTTTCTTTTTCGCCTACATGGGCTGTGGTCTCCTAGCAAAGCGCCACAACGGAGATGCACTAACCGTGGCGCAGTTTGCAACGCACACATGAGTTCCCAAGTTGCTGGAGTCGCAGAAGCACAGTTGTGACAGGATGTGACGGGACATACGGCAATGAACTGCTCCTCACTGCTCCAAGAGTGTCACAATGACAATTATGCCTGTCATTATACCCACAGTGTGGCAATTCGGAATGCTGTCATGAGCTGCATCAACAAAATGTTGGGTGGATGGCTTTGATACAGCAGAACTAACAGCAGCGGTAACGCTTTGAGATGCCGGGTCTTCTAAATATTCGCGAAGTCCTTGTCTCTAATCCAAATTGCCCAGCAGAGCTGTTGCTTCGCAGGATCATGGAAACAATGGCCACATGTGGCCACCATCATGGTTTTCAGATGCTTTCAGGAAGCCGCCGACAAGACATGACAAGACTGCAAAAGGCAAACAATCCACAATCACAACAAAGTCGTGCAAATAGCCTGCCAACAAAATTGAAAGCCCCATAACGCCAAACCCACGCGCTCTCCCTCACTCTACGCCCTGGGCCCGAAAACCTGCGCTCAAGCACGCCGCGAGCTGACCCCACAATGCAGGCCGCTGTTCTATACCTTTCAAGCTCAAAGGGTCATGGTGCCTGCCAGCTCGCCCCGCCCAGCTGCTGGTCCAGTGGATTTACAAGATCGCTGGAGACGCATTCCGGCGTTGCGGAACCAGATACGCACCACTGCCCGGTGTCTGCATTATGAGACAGGAAGCCTGCAGGCTGCCCGCTCCAGTCCGTCCCGCTGAATTCAGGTCGGCCAAAAGCATCGCGGACAACCGCATCGTAGATCCCTTGCTCTGCTGGGTCGGGAGGCACGCGGCCGGACCCGAACTTGGTCATGCGCACGGGGTTAGCGGTGATCTGGCAACATCGGAAACGGAAGTTTGTCCACCTGCTTTTGGAGTCAATCTCAGCCTGAATGGCTTGAAGACCACGGTCCTTGCCACAGTCCACGTCGATTTGGGAGGTACTTCCGTCGATCGTCTGTTGCACCGACGTCTCCTCGGTACAGGCACCCAGGTTGGGCACTTCCACGCACACAAAGGCGACCAACAAGCGGCTCTTGTTGAAGACCTGCATCAGCGTTCCTGCATCACAAACGCAATTGATGTCGTTGCCCTGAAGTGTGCTGGACATGTACCAGGTCTCCTCGAGACTGCTCGGCCCTCTGAGGTCAAAAGGTTGTTGCGAGAAGCTGTAATCAGTGCTGCTGATTCCATTCCCTTCCTCAGAGGAAAGGACTGCTACCTTGACACCATCAGTATTAGCGGAGTAGACGCCCAACCAGCCGTCATAGGTTCCGTCATCCGGCAGCCGCCAGGAGCAGCAAGCGTTCTCGGCTACAAGGTTGGCGTATTTCATGGATCTGCCACGATTTAGGAAGGATGAGAAAAGGACGAATTGGCCCTGTCTGATCTTGAATGCCTGGTCCTCCCTTCCATCACAGTCCTCACACACTGATTGAACCGGTGCCCCCTGCTTCGCACCCCACAACAAAATGTCAGGAAGCGCTCCTGTAACTCGTTGGCGATGCAGTCCGGAAGGTCTTGAGATCCCGGCTGGCAAGGCACTGCTGCAATGCACTTCTGCCAGCGGCTGTTCCTAGCGACCCCTCCGACAACGGTCGATACTGTTGACCCAGCCTAAATTCCGAACAAGCCGAGCTGAGTTTAATTAGAATTCTAGTCCCCCTCGCGACGCTTTCGCAAACAACGTCTTACGCTCGAGCAAACAATCCCGTCAGCATTTCACATATTCGTTGTGGGCTGGATCTTCCTTTCAGAGCAAGAACCTTCCCCGGCCCTTCGGCACAACAAGCTTTGTGTCTCACACTGTAGTCGTCTGTGAAGAAACGAAGAGAAAAGGTGCTCAATTGGGTCTGGGCACACGACCTGAAAACTCAACTCGATTCCCACTGGCTGCCGTCTTTGCCCGGTGGTGGCGCCGGTGCAGCTGCCAATAATCTGTGTCCTTGTGAACTCGATCCTGTTCAGGGTGCTGCCAAAGGAGCCGGCATTGCAGTCGAGGTTCGCAAGGACGTCGAAAAGGGTCGCTGCAGTGGCGTCTGGTGGCCCCTCTACCTGACAACGAGCGGCGCAAACCTCTTCCTAAGCCAAGGCGCACCTTGAGGCGCCGCTTCACAGAAAACTCCCCCTCAGGCCCTTGCCTTGCGCTTTTGGTTGGTGTTGTAAGACTCGGAGAAGAGGCTGGCCACTGTGTTCCCGTCAAGCAGCTGCTCTGAGGAGCCGTCACAAGGAGCAAGATCTAAGCTGCCACCTGCAAAGCAACACTTCGCTGATTCGCCCACGCCCCGATCTTATTGTGATCCTCTTCAGGGATTTAGTGCTCCAGGATGCTCCAGGGCTCTGGGCAACACCCCTCCTGGGCACGTATGTTGCGATCCATGTTGCCTTGCGTACATTATGTGCGCAATGTACATACGCATTTGCTATTTTATCGTGTCGGCTGTGCAGCACGATACCGGATTATGAGCTCCAGATTTGCCATAATTTTATGCTTAGTGTTTCGATTTGCGTCATGCTTTGACACACTGTCGCCTGCAGCTTTGAACAGCTCTCACCAACAGTGTGTTTCGTGGTGCCGCGACACACTGTGTTTAAAGAGAAGCTTCTTGCGTGCAAGGAAGTATTGAACACTTTCATGCGAGCTGTGGTTTGAAATCGGGAGGGTAGCTCCCATGACAGACCATACTTTCATGGTTCCCACTTTCGGCAACAGTGGCTCAAGTACGTTTCGAATTCTGACCTCGTTCCTTTTCGTTTGCGGTTCCCCGTTTACTCTTCCGTTCTGGTTTCCATTCTCGCGGGCACTTCCGTTAGTCTAGGAGCTTCCAAAACAGAGCCCCAAACGGAAAGCCGCTTTGCCATACCCTGTAACCACCTAGCCCAGATGTGTATTTAGCTGATTATTCACTTGGAAACTTCGTTGGATACTAAATTGGAACCTAAATCCCAACAAAACAAATGCTTGAAGTCCCAACTGCAAAATAATTTTGTCCGACCTGCCACCTGTTAACCAAGCCCGCCCCTGTCTATCGCACATTGGGTTGAAGTGGCTTCTCTGCTAAATTGCTCTAAGCTTCGCAAGAAGTGAACACTGCAGAAGCTTCAGCCCAGTGACTTGCCGTGCTCAGGCAGTGACTCTCGTCTGTCGCCGAAACGAACTGTCGCCTTGAATGCAGCACTGCTGTGTTGGCTGTTCTTGCGGATGTGGTGCTGGGCTGATGGTTCACAACAGGAGTTCTTTCAGGCTCGTGAGCTCGCTGACGGGCAGACAGTCTAGGAGACGAGACCTGCCTTTCAGACACTGCCCAGTCCCAAACATTTGGAGACCTGTGTTCGGCCGAGCGGACAGAACTCTCGTCAAATCAACAATCGAGCCTGAGCAGAGAATCAAAATTCCAACAGTACACACCAAAGGCACTAATCAGTCATCACGTCACGCCTACAGCCGATGCCCTTTGCCCAGGCAGCGGCCACAAGCTAATGCAGTTCTGAAGCATCCATTCACACCCTCCATGTTCCATAAATGGTGTCTGATCCCGGGGCTAAAACACTTGTTGCCCATGGAAGTGCAGGAGAGCTAGGAATATGGATAAGTCTAGAGGCGAGAGCATGTTGGCAGGCGACACAAGACAAGGGACGCCGATTCGTGATCAGGTAGTGGCATCATGCCCCGCACGGATGTCAACTTCTGCTGAACAGCGTTAGCAGCACGGCGTTTCCCATCTTGCGACCGCAGTAATGGCACAAGGCCAACAAGCTTTTTCGTGCACGTACTGTGTACCTCACCCTACTGTCCCTCGGAGTCCCACCGATACTTCCGCTTCGTGTAACCGCTGTTGCTGTAACATGGGTTTTGCTAATGCCGCGACTGTGACTCCTTTGATGTCGACGTGTGGCGTCACGAATGGTACGGGTGCCGAGACGGGCCACCTGCTTCGAACTCGAAAGCTCATGAGACTGCACCATGCAGGCTTCAGAGAGACAATGTGGGCGGAGCAGCGCAGGCCCAGGGGCTCGGGCCAAACTGCCCAGTCCCTAGAAGTACAACCAACATTAATGCCCAAGCCCAAGCTTGATGAGTGCTCTTGCAACCTGGCCATTCATTCTGCCGGGTCACGGGTCTGAGGAGCCATGCTGCTTGCTGCCAGGTCACTCCTGTGGCGCGCCTGTTGGCGTTTGCTTCACGTAGAAATCGCCCAGAACCTGCTCTCCTGCACCTGCGAATCCCGCACGAGCCAAGGCGATGTGGACCTTGAAGCCCTCGAAGAAATAGAGCTCCTAACAGTGGCATCGTCTACGTTAGATTCCGGCACTTGAGTGGAGACTGCGACAGCCATCAAAGGGCTTCAAGCAGGAGTCACATCTCCTTAGCAATTAACAAAACAGAAGCACGCTCATAGCCGAGCGCAACAAAACACAAGCACACAACACATGTGGGAAGCAACTAACTACAAGTAGTAACTAGTACATACCAAAAGCACAGAGCTCCTGCCAGTTGCGCGAGTCGAGATCCTGGTAGTAGCTGCTGACGACCTGGACAAGGGCGATGCATGAGAATCGGCTCAAGCCGTCCGCCCCATCTCGGTCGAGCCATTTGCCATTAGCACAGATCTGCTCGAAGTTGGTTCTGGGAAGTGAGCTGTAGCGCTCGGACCAACAAGTTGCCTTGAGCAGCGTGCCATGGGCGTAGCTGCTCCGAAACAGGGACTTGCTCAGTGCCTGCCTTTGCGTAGTGCCTTCAGCTGGCACCACGGCAAACTTGCAGGGCTCGCACACCTCAACGCCGACACCCCCCACGAACAACGCCTCGTCGCACTGTTCGAAAAGGGCCTGAGCATTAGAAACGCCATGAAACACCGTACTGACACCATGGTTTTCCGAGGCGACGAGCAGCAACAAAACCATCTTAATATTTACGTGCCGTAGTGAAGAGCATTGAAGGGCCTGGTCTAAGCAGTCTGGCAAATAGAGCTCGGCACTGGAGTAGAACGCCCCGAGGTTCTGGCGTCGCCGGGTGATGTGCCAGCAAGCATCTGGGTTTGCGATGGCACAGACCTCCGTGTCCTTCGGATACGAGTAAAGGGTGCCGGAGAGCCCCAGCTCCCGGTAGAGGAACTCACAACCGCTGTAGAGCCTGCATTGCTTGGCCGACAGCACTTCGCCAGCAAAGAAGTACCGGCACTCAGACTTCTTGGCACACTCCGCTTGGCATTCTTCGAGGTCTGCGGCCTGCACGTCGGACTCCACGATGACTTGCAAGAGGTCCTCTGCCTTGACACCACAGGCGAACTGGCCTGTCAGGATCGGGAAGGGTCTTGGCCGGAAGACGTTACGGCTCCCTGCCGGGATCTCTCCGAAGGCTTCGGCTGTCACGGGATCGTTCTGGCCCCAGAGGTGTGGGGCACAATGGCAGGGATGCAGCCAGTAGTCGAAGGGGATCTCCGTCAGAGGGTCGTCCACCATCACCGCCACTGCGCCGTCGGCTGTCTCAGCCCGGTCATCAGCCTCGCTCTGGGTCAGATTGGGTGCATCGCAGCGCAGCAGCTCCACTGCAGCTGTCAAGGTGTCCGACCCACCAGCACTGTACGTTATCGGAAAGGTAGCGGTCCCCTGGCTGAAAACATCTGCGATCAGGTCTATGCCTCACCATGAGCAAGGTCGGCAACTGCAACAAGAAGTGCCGTGCGCATGCAAAGGCCGAAATATGCCGACATCTAAGAAAGCAAGCAACCTGAGTCGATCGTAGCCATCTCCTCGCCAGAGAAGGTCATGTACGCAGCAGAGGCATTGTAGAAGTCGCCTGGAATTCTCAGTCCCCCAACTCAAGCCCCGATCTCTCTTTCACCCGCACGCCTTGGGCAGGCTTCTGCAGAACCCACACATCGAAGTCACGACTCTTGCGGTGTAGCCAAAAAGACTCCGAGTTCCCCAAACCTTCCTTCAGGAAGACCAGGCCACCTGTGCACTGGCAGGCTGTTTGAGGTACTGTGGCATTTGCAAACAGCTCATGAGGACTTGCACTCTTGCTAGGTTCTGACCTTCATAGTTGTTCTCGCCGTAGTAGCAGTAGCGTCCAGCGAAGAAGCGCTTCGACAAGCTCAGCTCGATGCATGTTTTCCGCTCAGCACAATCCGGGACATGGGCAAAGAGCTGCCCGCGCACCTGCAACGGGTGATGAGACGAGGACACGCATTTGAAACGCAAGCGCAAGAAGCAGCCGAGAGGCAGGGCGGCAGCTCGGGCTGGAGCTTGAGTCGCAAAGGCCCATGTAGCGAAAACAACTCGTGCTCTGATGGGAGTAATACGTGCAAGCGATGTCTCTCCGGCAGGCTTGGCGGCACTCGGCAGCCGAGGAAGAGGTCTCAGTAACCTCTTGGAAATGGGACGGGGTCGCAACAGGCACGAAGCAGGTGTCGTCTTGGGCGTTGAGGAAGAGCTCTTCTTTGATAACAGAGCCGACACCAAAGGGCAGGTACTGGTAGAGCCCAAAGATTTTGCAAGAGATGCTTAACGTGGATCGGGTGCCCGCATCAACAGGCATCACGCCTGCAAGCTCCGCCGAAGGAGCGAGACGCACATACCCTGTCGTCAGGTCCAACTCGAAGAAAGCAAACCCCTCATACGTTCCCTGGCCGGTGACGATGTCCAAGGCCACGTGACCCCCATCATCGCTTGAGCACTTACCCGTGAAGGCAGTGGGGGGGAGCAAGAACAAAGTACTGCGGCTCGTATCGATGGGCCGCAACGTGGGTGCCACCTGCCCGACTGTCGCCTCCATGGGTTGATTTTCGAAGCACTGTAAACTCTGCAGCATAACGAGTGTGTCTATCAGCCCGTACGTTCACATGGCAGAATGGGGAAGCAAGCGATTAAGCATCTGTGTTGAAGATCAGTCTCAGAACTCTGCACACTTGCACCGGGAAACTATGGGCAACCTCTTGGCCATGCAGACTACCGGAAGAAGATGTGGGTCTCGCCTGACATCTGTATCCGACATGATCCGCAAAGAAACATTCGAGATGTTGCAGCCTGCCTTGAGAGGACTGCTCTGATTCGATCCTCGCTCGTAGACCATGCCACCCCATGGTCTGGGGTTGACAGCAACGAAGTATGCATCTGCCTTCACGAACCACACAACCTAACCCCCGGTAAGACTAAGCTCGCCGAGGTGGCATTGAGCCCCAGCGCCTCAAAACACCCTGAATAGTTAAAACACAGATTCAAGCGCAGGATAACTCATTGCGACCCACACAGCAATTGGCCGGAACATGCTGACTCTTTGATCTGGAAAGGAAACCTTTATGAGCCGCGAATAATTTGATTGGTCCGGTCCGTGTAGCCTTCACGGAGGGCGCTGAAGCTAGGCTGGCATTGGCCAGACATATGCACCCCATCGAATCGATTGAGCCAAAGCCCGAGTTCCAAGTGATACCGCCACCGGCACCAGCTTTCGAATCCCACCCGAGCTTTCCGTCCTGGTCCAAGGTAAGCCTCGACGTCAGTTCGGCCGGGTCGCAGCTCAGTTGGTCAAAGACCCATGAACTGCTGACGGCTGGCGTTGCTTCGGTGGCAGCACTCAGGAAGACCAACCTGAGAGTTCGATGCACGCAGCAAGACTAGCTGATGTGCATCATGAGCCACACCATCATAGAAATGCAATTGTTACAGAAGTGGCGGTTGATCCAGAACTCACACCGCGGAAAAAAGCCCGTGTGGTCAACAGCTCATCCCTTTCGTTCGCTGTCCAAGCGCTCGAAAATCTCAACTCATCTCTATACGTGTGCATGTGTTTGCAACAGTACAGTGTAGAGCATGGGGTTGTTTCAGGGCTGAGTGTCTTTCGAAAGCTTAGCCATGTGAGATTGAGTGGTCTGAACTTGAGGGGGGTCAGTCTCGGAATGATTTCGGACCTGATTGAACGGCTGACTCTGAGGAGCGGATACTGCCCGTATGAGATGCGCTTCTCGGCCATGACCGTCAGTGTCGCGAAGGCCGAGAGGGTGCTGGTTTGATGGGCAATGATGGTGCAAGAAATGCTGAAAGCCTGTCGCAACACTGGACGGGAAGGCTGGGAGCCAACCAGAAAGGGAAGCTAATAGAACCCGCCTCGAGGAGGCTGCCGCCCACTTGTCCAATCGCTGGAGCGATCTGCAAACTGCCCGTGGCCTGTGCTCAACTGCAACAGATTTCTGAAGTGCTGCTCTGCTGTGCTGGTTGCCTGTCTTGGCAATAAGGATAAAACCTAACATCACTTTACGGCATCACGTAGACAAGCGTCACCATCGATGGCCAGGCCGTGCTCCAAGAGCTTGCAGTCCTCATTGATGGTGTAGTTGCTGGCGGTCCGCGGAACTGGGAAACCAGTGATCGAGGTTGCATAGAGTACCGTCGGCGCCACATAGTAGGTGAAGGGCGTGGCGGCCCGCTGTCCACCACCGCACCCGCAGCAAGCTTGTTTGGAAGAGAGACCATAGTACGCGGTGTCACTACAGACAGCTTGGATGCAGTTCTCGCCGTCCAAATTCGTCCAGCCTGGAGTGTCCACGCAGGCCTCGCAACGCCCTTCGCCGGCAACTTCCACAAATCCGGGAGAACACTGAGCACAGCTGCTGCCATCGAGCTGGAAGCATCCTGGCCAAGCGCAGTTCAGTGAACCCTTAGCCCCGCCCATGCCCACGGTAAAATGTGCCGAACTTGTAACCATGCCGTGGCACCGCATGGATACCGACGATCATCTTTAGAAGGGGGATCTTAGCGGGGTATTCGCTCTTGTACAGCTTTTGTTGACTAACAGCTGCTCCAATCTCGGTAATTGAAACCCTGGAAAGTGAAGTTTCCGGAGGCTCTACGAAAGCGCAAAGGTACGGGACATTGGCATTGGACAAAGACGTATAGCACAACCAACCTATTCCGAAATTATCCTCAACTCCACTGGCGAACTCCAAAACTCAAACCCGACATGAATTCGGCCCATCTTGGGCCTGTCCTGCGCAGTACAGGGCGGCTTCGGGGCAACACACGTACTTTTCCGTGCTTAAGTCGAAGATTGGGAAGCCGGAAAGGCAGGTCGCTTCCAACTGGGACATCTGCCTCGAATCTGCCCGTGTTGTCTGCGCCAATGTGCGGGGCACCAGGCAAGTCTCGAACAACTCCTCTGAAGCTACAGGCACTAAAGGGTTCTGCAAACACCTCAGCTGAAGCCTGTGGGACAACCTTAACAGCGAAAATCGGCAGTCCTCATTTCGAGGCTGGCTCCGTCCGTTTGCCTTGGCCTGTACATGGTGTACTGGGAAGTCTTTATGGTGGGTCGAGTTGTTCAGGGCTTCGGCCTGCACAGCTGGGACAAGTCATTCAAGATTCAAGTGAACGACTGAGTAGACTGTTCACGTGGCATTTCTCGGCGCCGTTTTCGGAAGTGCTGAATCTCTCAACCCAAACGGAAGAACTTGTTGCAGAAAACATATGCTCAGGGATCAGTTCTAGTTCGATTCCTTGCGACTGGGTGCTGTAGAAGTGCCTCGAGGGCTTGTTCGGCTTCTCTCTAGGATTTCCGGACTTAGTGAACGAATGGCGCAGTGAGTGCGCAACCGCACCTTTCAGATGCCACTTCGGGTGATTCAAGGAAGCAAAGAAATGCAAAGAAGGCTTTCAGCCTCGCGATGCTTTTGGCCGGGACCCGGCATAGCCCGGCCTCAGAGCTCTCCGGCGCTTCGCTTTCCAAAAGGTGGAGCTTTCGGAAGGCCATTTGGATGAAATCCTCCGTTTGTTGCTCCTGTCGAAGGGACGAACATCCGGGTGCTGCTAAGACTTCGTTCTCTTCCGGTCCTCTTGCTCTTCATGCTCGACGCTTTGAAGATGCGGAGGCTTTCCTCGGACCCTCTTTTGAAGCAACGCTGTCCGGTCACCACACGAAGTGTTCCGCACATCGCCCACAACTGCCAGAACAAGGCCAAAGAGGAGCACTGCGGAGGCCATAGGCATGCCTCTCAAAGAACATAAACGGCAATGGCTTCTAGGGTCATTCCTTGACCGAGTTTCTACCAATCCTTTGTCTTGAGATTGACGATACGGCTGTAACGACAGTCATGCGCCTTCCTGCTTGTGGGCATAAATGCAAGCTGCATGGTATCTCAATCGGATGACATGCTACGGCTTTACGGCTCACGCAATGACCTCGTGTGGATCAGCGTACTTGAGTCGTGACATCGAATTGTGCGTCCGCCCTTGCCCTTGTGACAAGCCTGCAGTTGCAAGAGAAATGGCATCAGTATATTCACTTCAGCCAAACGCTCACCATCGGGATTCCGCCGTAATTCGGGTTCGGCCAATCGGCGTTGGATGTGGGCGCATCGTAACCGTTCCCAGACTGCCAGAAGTCGTCGTAGCGTGTCGAACTGGCTGGCTGAACACCAACAGCCATACACAGATCACCTCCGCGTGTGAAGCCGATGTCGTTGTACGTAGCTGCTGGGTATGAGCCGCCATGGGACTGCTCCTTCATGATGCCGTAAGCATTCTGCCAGCACGTGGCACTAACACCATTTTGGTCGTAGACCTGCACTTGGTGGCCTGTCGCTGCTCTGATTGTCTGAAAACCTCAGGCGGATGCCAAGAGCGCACGTGCGAACTGCACCTGACCTTCACCCGCCTGCTCCGTGGTTCCACCATGTCGATAGCTGTCGCTCCACATCCATTTCCCACCTGGCGGCTTATGCCCAACGATCGCATCACAGCGCAGATGCGTCAACATGTGGAGTGCAAAAACAGAGACAAGACGCTTTGAGGTAAAGCGACCGCTTGCAATACTACGAGGGCGCACAGAGGTCCCCGGTTTAATCGTCCCAGGCCCTGAACACTGCCCACACTTCCACGCTCCGGCCTGACGTAGCTGGTGACCGCCCCGTTGCCTGTACTTATTTGGGTTGAGAGGCATATCGAGGAAATGGGAACCGAGAAAAGCTCATAGACTACCGGATGTACATTCGATGTGTTGTCGAACCAAACATATTTTTTCGAAGAGAAACAAACAAGTATCAGTATATGACAGTATATGAGTACTGGGAGTCTTCAAAGGGCGGGACGTGCTGGAGACCCCCACCCGACGCAGTATCGTAGACAGGACGAGCATCTGAACCGGATCTCTGACGCGCAGTTCACGGCCAGGTCCACTGCAGGGATGGAGGCCCACCTTGACCCCCAACTTATGACTTTAATTACTTGACTTGTGCCCGCATAATCTCAGATGCATACGGGTTTTTTCAAGGTGAACTCCACAGAGCTCGGAAGCTGACGGCTTACCCGACACCGCCTACCGGGTCTGAGCTTTCACAAGCCTTTCTGTTGACTCTCAGTGCTTCGCAGTCGGCTTTCTTTGATTTGGACCTTTGGGGCTCATAAAGCCACTATAAGCTGTTCCTATTCAATCTATGGAACTCCTGGCAAGACGTTCCGAGACTGCAGGGTGTGCCGAGTTGCCACAGTACATACAACCTCAGAACTGCAATTACCTGGAAAGAGTGGCCCTTTGATGCCGGGCCACATGTTGGAGGTGATGCTTGGGGTTTTCAGCGCCGTCTCGTTGCTGTACGTCCGCAGCCAGTCTTCAAAGATCAGAAATCGGCCCTGGATCTGGCCAACGAGTGTCCAACCTTCGAATCGTGGTGTTGCGAGGCCAGCGCACCGAATAGGGCGAGATTGGTCTACTGCCGCAAAAAAGGTTCTGAATTATGATGTACAGCGAATGACTGACAAGCCCACAACAACTCCAATTCCTTGGAGAACTCAAAGCCTTTGACTCTCCCGGAAAGCCAAGTCAGCCCCACCTCCATTTCTCATGTCGCAGAAAAGGTCCACATCTTGGACATTCCCGTTCAAATCTCGGATTTTCAAGGTGTAGACTCCGTCCTTGTGTGCCGAAGCTCAAACCACTATCAATGTGAAGCCCCTGCAGCCACACTCCACAAGGCTTTCGCTGATTCCGTCCTTGCTGCCGGGAGCGCTCTGAAATATGTCCAGACAGGAGGCCTCAGGGCCAGGGGAGTCGGGCTTGGGTGTTTGCTGCATGTAAGCCATTGCTCTAGCTTGTCTGTGCTGCACTCTTTTGCAGTTCTGTATAGGTCGCTGGTAGCTGTAAGGGTGCAGGGCAAGCTCAAGACCGACTCAACGCTGCTGCAAAGACTAGACGCGAGCCATCATTCAGCAGGAGCGGCGGGATGTTGTTGACAACTCCCAGTGGTGGTAATGGTGGTGGTGGTGGTGGTGGTGGTGGTGGTGGTGGTGGTGGTGGTGGTGGTGGTGGTGATGGTGGTGGTAGTGGTGGTTGTGGCGGCGGTGGTCGTTCTCGTAGCTGTGGTCGTGGTAGTACTGCCTGCGATCGTAGTCGTAGTCGCTGTCGATGTAACCGTGGTCGTCGTTGTGGTGGTTGTGGTGCTGGTGGTGGTCGTGGTGATGGTGGTGGTTGCGACCGTCGTGGACGTTGCCGTAGATGAAGTAGATGCTAAGGTTGTCGTGGATGTGGTCGATGTAGTGGGCGTTGTGGGGCCAAAAGTAGATGCTAAGGTTGTCGTGGATGTGGTCGATGTAGTGGGCGTTGTGGGGCCAATGCCCGCAGACCTGAAGCAGCCAAGCTGAACAATGATGCCAAGAAGAAACAAAATGTCGTAAGCGCATGGCGTCAGGGTGAGTGTCTCGGTGTTGTTGCCAAAACGAAGCACGGCCGGCTGCTGCACAATGTACACGCAAGCTGATGGTGCCACTGTGAATGTCAAGGTCTTGGCCGGCAATGGACATTGGACCGCAGCATGCTGCAGTCACAGTCACACTACCACACATTACCAGAAGAACAAGTAGGAAACAAGACAACAATGTGTCCGTGCAACTGCCCGCGTGTCCATGCCAGTGCCGTTCCACGGATTCGGACAGATGGGGCCGTTGTCGTTGACACATCCTAAGCGGACCGAACATGATGCGAACAAAAAGCGGCTGGCAGTGATGGAGATGGCAAGCAGCCCACGAGCCGGCAGCTGCCGTTGTGGGACAGGAAAGCCGACAACATGGCATCGAAGCTGGGATCGTCATCGCAAGTGGACGCCGTCACCACCCGCGATGTTTCACCGTCGTTGCAATACTTGAAAAGCTCCTACGAGGAGATCAGCGCTGTATTGCCAGTCCACTTCAATTTAGGTGAATATTGACGGGGTTTGACAGGCATTCAACCAGACGGAAGAGACCAGCCCCGCACCTGTGCTTTGCACGGAAAAACATCTGCAGGTCCTGAGACGCGTTCGCGAAGAGAAGGCAGCCGGCGAAGATCGTTGCTGGGGAGGCTGCACGGGATTGAATGTCGCTGATCGTGAAGGTGCACGGGAGCTGGGACTCCTGACACACCTTAAGCACCACGACCCTTTTGAGACCCGTGCAATCCTGAACCTTTGATGCCTTCCCGAAGCCTCACACAATCAATGCCCTTATGCAAGGATTTTGAGCCTACGGCGCCGGCTCTGTTAAGTTCACACCTGGCTCACAGAGCCCAGGTGGCGGCGTAGGGATCGGGATGCCCAATGCAACCTGGTCATCGGGGAACCATTGAGGGAATCGGGGCAACCACAAGCCCTTGGGGGGATGTTGTCAGCTTCTGGTGCTGTTGGGGCCGTTCGCTTAACAACAACACGCATGATGTGATTGCCAGCAAGAAACCGGCACAGCAGTCTCAACTAGCTTGTCCACGCTCTTGCTGCTGTTGTCGAGACTCGCAATTTGCTGTGCCTGCTGCTCCAAGACCTCTTCCTGCTGACGTGCCAAAACGTCTTGACTCTTCATGACCTCCTCGTGCTGCCTCTCCAGCTCCTGGACCCAGGACCAGCACACAACGATGCTGCAGACTACCAGCAGGGCGAGCCGCAGTTAAGTTCCCGTAAGACTCCATTGCAACCGATATATCTATTCTCGTGTCTCCGCAAACGCAAACTCGCTTTGTCTTCTATTCTATTCTTTGTGATATCCTGTCTGAATAGCTATAAATATATATATATATATATATATGTGTGTGTGTGTATTATATACACACACACACTTGCAATTTACCTGCTGCACTTGGGGCAAGCTGAATCAAGCTTAGTCCAACATCCAGTGGACCTGGACCCAAGGTGGAGACGGAGCTGGTTCATTGCTCTCAGCGTCGGTGTCGGCCAATGCCAGCCGGTTTTGCAATGGACCACATCTTAGCTTCTCCCACCGTGTCCATAGCCTGGCCGATAGAATGCTCACAGCCAAAGGCACTGGATACAAGGGCACACAAAACAGGCGAAGGGTTCACAAGTGTGAACACCGCGAAGTTCAACAAAAAGTCAGAAATGAAGATAAAGAACCAAAACACATGACCCCCCCCCCCCCGAAATCCACTGCTGTGATTCCGGGTAACTCTCTGGCCGTGCCCTCTGCGGACACCGCCTCGGCCGCGGCTGACAGCCGGTCGACGGAGTCGAAGAGCTCTTGGCCCGGAGGTGCCTCGAACCTGTGCCCGACCCTCCCCGCTTCAAACATTGTTTGGAATCTGCTTCCGTACGCCTCTGCCGGAGCAGCGCCATCTCCGTCAAGAGCGTGTCCAGCTGGCGCACGGTCTGCCCAAAGAAGCCCTTGCGCACGGCCGCAGCGGCTGCCTCCACGAAGGAGGTCGCGTTCCTGCACAACTGGGCGGGCTCCCCCTGCGGAGCCGCCGCTGCATCGTGGGCTGCGAGCTCCTGCAGCATTCCCGTGTCCACGACCTGGGCGGCCATGTGTCCGATGGCCGCAGCAGCCGCGGCCCAGACTTCGCGCAGGGTGCGTTGCTCGGCGGCGTGGGCGCGGCTGCTGGAGGTGTAGGCGGCCTTCAGCTGTGCGAAGTTGGCACCGCATCGGGTGTACACGTCCAAGAGGCCAACGGCATGCTGGAAAGACCTGCGCACAGGTGAAGAATGCAGCGCAGCTCTGCATAACGAGTACCCCGCTGCCTCATCTCTCTCCACTAACAACTCACTTGAGGGGAAATGTCTGCGACACACTTGTGCCCCACACGGTTGGGGTCGTTGGGTTTTGGCCGGTCTCTCCTGAATTGGAATTTCTCGGTTCTGGCTGGGGCTGTCGTCGCGGTCTGTTAGTGTAGAAGTCACCTGTATGGGCGGCTGGGCCCCGCTCCTTGTACGTGACTCCATGGTTTCCCACGCCTGCCTCAGCTCGGAGAGCTCTTGCTCCGACATCGCTGTCTGTTTAGTGTGGTGGTGGTACCCTTTGATCATGCAGACCCTCGTTTCCTGTGGGTGGGTTTGGACTAAAGAGACTGGGTCTGGGTGGTTTCAAGCAAGATATATGTTGGAGGCTACAAATACAACCCTCATAGGGGTATTCTGAGTTTGAGGACCCCTAGGCAAGGCATCTCTATCGGACCTATCGAAAAGAAATGAATGTTAACGCGCCGGGCGCGGGTTTGGAAGCTGAAAGCTTGGGGCCTAGTTGCTCTCCTTCGGTGGTTGTGGTGAAGCAAGGGAGGTAGGGCGGACGCTCGCATGGATGCATGGCCCCTCCATTGACATGTCGTTGACAGGCCAGTTAGTCATCCCACTCCCAGATCAGACCTGCCCGACCCCCGAGAGGCATCGATCCCTGAGAATGTGCAGGGCTGTTTGCCTTGTTGCTTGCTGTTGCTGTCAATGTCGGTGGGCATCAACTTCGTTTCGACGACTTGTCATGATGAACATTTGCTCATTACCTTTATCTGATTTGCTATTGCTATACCTACGCTTACATACGGGTTTGAAACATACAGGGAAAGCAGGCTTCCTTCTTGTCGTTCGGCAACTTATCTCCTATTAGAAGCAACTGCGGGCTTCAGTGCTGCAGACCTTGAGGCGGTACACATAACATGGACAACGTGTCCAGCCAACTCTCTTTGTTTCTGTCTCTCTGTTGTCGCAATGTTTCTCTGTCCTGCAAGTCTACCACAACTGGGGGCCTAGCCTCAGGTACTCGTCGTAGGTGTCCAAGTACCGGTCCAGCTCTTTGCGCAAGTCCCACCAGGAGGCGTCCAGTGCTCTCAATGCTGCAACGAAGGACAGCTCACGCAGCTCGTCCTGTGATGCGCCAAAGCTCCGCTGCATGTCAGTTCGGCAGCATAAGGCAACGTCGGGAACTAAGCCGTTCAGACAGTCCTGCAAGCCTTCGGAAAGAATGGACTGCCGCAGCCTCAACGGGTCGACTGTTCTTCCAAGCGCCGTAACTTCCTCTGCCCCTGGCCTGCTCTTCAAGGCAGCCGAGCGGTAGATTCCCAATGTTCGTGTCTTTGCACGCAGAAGCTTGTTCATGCTCACTACGAAAGCCGCAGTCCTGCACACATCTGGCTACAATCAGAGTACTTCCAGTGTCAGCTGAACGTCATAAGATGCTCACTCCATTCAGGAATTTGTTTCCCGAACCATGGTTCTCAATCCGGTGCTACCAGACAAGCTTCGTCCAGCACTCACACGGCGACTGCAGACATGTTCTGAAACGCCTTGTGCGGCACTGCCTGGCTGGATTGGCCGTGAGCTGCGATACACTTAGCGCAGCGCTATGCGGATTAAGACATGCGACTAAGAACTTCTCCGTTCCTAGAGTGAAGACTTCACAGGCACGTGCGTCAAGCAAGCCTGAATGAGCGCTTTTCGCTTTTGTGCTTGGGATGGGACACGGCGTGCAACATTTTGAGGTGTGTACGCTGACAAAACCTGGCTTGCAGGCACCAGGGATGACAGAATGCATGCCGGCTGCATCTTGCTACTGTCGCGGATGCATCAATTTTTATCACTCTTCCCGTCTGATAGGAGTCTTGTGACCGAGACAAACGCACAAACATCGGGCAAGGATGTCGGTGGAGTCATGTGGAGTCCTAATGCTATCCAAAAACCCGTGACAGAAATCATTAACTGAAGTCAGAACGATCGCCTACCTCGTGCACAAAGCATTTGTGCATGAGCTCGAGATTTCATGTGCTGGCATTGATTTGCCACTGCGACTTGCTGTAGTACTCAGTTCTCTCTCTCTCTCTCTCTGTCTTTCTTCCCGTCTCTCTCTCCCTTCCTTCCTTCCTTCCTTCCTTGGGGGTCAGGTCCGCGCAAGCAGACCCGCGCCAAGGAGCCCCCTCCTCGCATACGTTCAGTTTTGGCTCCCGCATGGCCGGTCTCGCGACTAGCATGGCAGGTAACACGCCACTACGAGATAGGAGGATCAACAAGTTTCGACGCCTCCTAGCGATACACGGCGACAGTTCACACCCAGCACAGCAAGTAGACTACCAGTTCAAACTCGGCATGGGGCACCCCAATCGGTCCAGTGAGTGTCTGTGAAACTGTTAGGACCCAAACCGCGCTTCCCGGCCTCCTAAATAGCTCAACAGAGGCTTCTCCCCTAGCAGTTGGCAGCTGCCCCCCCTTTGCTAGCAATCAAGCAACCAGCGAAACTACGATGCCGCCAACACTTCGCATAAGTATCGTGGCTCTCGGGGACGGCTGCTGCTGTTGCTCTCTCTCCCTCTCTGCCAGACGAGCACTGCAATGGGCAGAGACACTCAGGGGAAGCATTAAGCATAGGATGTGAAGCATGTGATGGCATATGTGTTGCTTCTGTCAGCGCTCCTCCGCTCCACTGTGGCCGCCTCTGATGTCGTCCGCGTGGCAGAAGCTTTCAGGGTCGCCTTCAGCCGCCCCGTTTCTGTGAGGAGGATCCCGGAAAAGTTGCCGAGTCCGTGGCTCCGGACCTTGCAGGGAAGTCGAAGGTTTGGCCCCTAATGCGCATCCGTGGCTCCGGATCAGTTCGGCCTCTCTCGTCCCCTGGACAGCAGATTGGAAGGCCCGGAGAGCTCGCTGAGAGGCGATCTGTGCAGTGGGGTGCAAGTTCCGCTGGAGCAGCTGCCGCATCTCCCGAACGTCCGTGGCCAGCCCGGCGCGCATCTGCTGGAAGTCTTGGTGCTGCGAGGCTGCCAAAAGGCTGGCAGACTGAGAGCTGTCCGGGAAGTATGCCTGGAAGAGGTTACGCCTCGGATCGAAATCCGCTTCAAGAGTATTCAAGAGTGGTGGGGGGCCCAAGGGCTCTGTTTTTCAGCAGCAGCGCAGGATGTGACAAGCGGAACCAGCGCAGCCAAGCGGCATCTCCCTCTGAAGAACCGAAACGCTCTCTTCCAGGCTCGTGAGGATCGCCGCGTCGCCTTTCTTCACGGCATCCCTAACACAGTGGAGGTCGCAGAAAGTCCGCGCCAGGCCGTGCCTTCGTGAATCCATCAATCGAGCTGTGAAATATACGGAACAACTAAATCCGACCAAGCCCACATGTTCAGTGGAACGGTAATCATATCCTCGACAGCAAGCCCAAGAAGCCGTTCTTGACTATAAGTTGCTCTGCAACTTAAGCTCCTTCTTCGATTGCTGTTCAGATTGGATGTGCATCGGTAACTGGAACGACTTTCCAAAACAGAATGACGCGTATTCTATCCACTCCGTCCGAGGAGAACCAGGCTGTATCCTCTCTATTGAATCGTCCAACATCCAATTCTTGGACACTTAGCAGACTGCTGGGCTTCTTTACAAGATGCCCCGTTCGAAGGCATGACTCATTGAAAAGAGGCGCTGAACGGAGTTGCAGTCCTCGTTGTCGGCGGCCACAAAACGGCTGTTCCTTCCGATCAGCCGCTGGTTGTTGTTGACCTTTACGATTTTTCGGGCCACCTGAGCCAAGAGCATGAACAGGAACAAACCAATCAGAGATGAGTCGTCTACAACCGAGCTCCTGCAGAACCACATTGCTGGGAAACAAAGGCATTCAACTCCTGACAGTACGCCTATCATGTGGGACTCCACCTTAGACCTAGGACTTCAGAGCTTAAGAGCTTGGACCTCAGTCTCGAGTGTTGTGCTGTTTGCCGCCTTGGCAACCGCGGACAGGATCTTGCCAGCCTTTATGGTGGGGCCAGGACTTGCAACGTCCACGTCTGGTGTCGCCTCGAGCCAGTCCTGGACTTCCTCTGCCAGATCGTTGAACCATTCCACCCTTACAGCTCACGAAACACACGAAAGAACACCGCAGAAAGTTGTCCAGGCAAGGCAATTATTGTCAAAGGCACTTTCTGTGCTCGTTCTGCCATTTAGCCAGCTGGAAATCACGGGCGATTTCACGGTCAGCACACTCCTGGACATAGGCTTGCCAGACAAATGCCGTGCGAAAGGATCTCTGTGAGGGTAGTACACCTGCTGACCCCTCTCACGTGGAGTTCATGGTGGGTTGAGAGTGGAAGTCTGGGCTCGATTTTTGTCCTCATATTTGAATTGTTGTTCTTCTGCTTTTTCTGTTTCTGGTCTGGGGCACTCCTGGCTTCCCGCCGCTGCGGAGGGGGGTACTGAGCCCTCCCAATACGAATAGTAGTAATAATAATAGTAATAGTAATAGTAATAGTAATAGTAATAGTAATAGTCATAGTAATAGTAATAGTAATAGTACGAGTACTAGTAATGGTCATAGTGATAACAAGAGCAATAGTGATGGACATGTTATACGTAACAATATGAGTAAAAATACCATTGCTAGTACTAGCAATAGAAACAAGCACAATAAAAACAATAGCACTGGTCATAGAGATCACAATGATAATGGTAATAAGACTAACAATAATGATACTCATAGTAATAGCCATGGTAGTAGTACTGGTAAGAACAAGAGTAAGAGTATTAATAATCGTAGCAGTAATACTAGTAGCAATTGCAACAATAATGGCCAGAATGATCGTAGTAGAAATAGTGATGGTCATTCTACGTAATAGCAATAGTAAGACTAACCATGTCAGTAGCAGTAATTGTGAGAGCAATAGTACGGATAGGAGTAATAGTAGTGCATGAAAATAAGCAGAGGTAACAAACATAGCAATAGTAATGGTAGTCGTAACCGTATCAGCAATAACATTAATGTTAAGAATAAGCAAATTGCAATGATAATAACCATATAATAAAAATTGTAATCAAAGCAATAGTAAAAAACAAAAGCAGCAATGGTAATAGTATTAATATTAACAGGAGTAACAATCAAGGCAATAATAACAAGTGATAGTAGACATAATTATGGAAGTAATAGCAAAATGCTTGTAACAATAATGAAAGATGATGAAAACTTTGCTAATTATACTGTGAAACCAGAGTATCAATAGCTATTGTCACAGTAAGAACACTACTCATAGAAAAGTAATATTACTAATAAAATACTGATAACAAGAATCATTGTAGTAGCAATAACAACAGCAACAGTAATAATCATATTGATTGTCTTTTCGCTTATAGCAATACTAGTAATTACTAGTACTACTACTTGGTTCCTTCCTTCCTTGCGTGCTTGCTCGCTAGCTTGTTTGCTTGCTTGCTTGCCTGCAAGCGGAAACAACATAAGAACAAACCCAAGTTGAAAAATACGGAAAAACTATCACCGCCGACACGGTGGCCTTTTCATCTGCCTTCACGTTGTGAAAAATCTTTTTGATGTCTCTACTTTCCACCACTTGCAGCCCACGGCAGGGGATGCTTTCGGGTTTTTGTCTCGGATATCGGGGTCCCCGTGCTTGGTAGACTTAATGTTATTTCGATGCAAACTTCCCTCATGGTCATGGGCTTCCTCTTTGACTGTATCGTCTGTCCTTGGCGGTCGTGGGTGTGAGGCCAGACTTGCCTGGCTCGTCCACGTCCCCCAGGTTCCATGCATAGTAGGACATGCCCTCGCCTTCGTTGTCGATGTCGGATTCGAATTTGTCTCCATAGCCATCGATGTCAGGAATGCCAAAGAAGCTGTCCGGCGGGAGGCCAGTTTTCTTTTTCTTGGTTTTCGGAGTGCTGAAAACTAGGCCACACGGGTTGTCCGTGTCTTTGAGCCCTTCCGCCACCTCGTTCATGGTCGTCTGATCAAACTTCTCAGAGCCTGGGTCGGACTCCTCCTTGCACTCGGGCGCGTAGGCCGGATCCTGACGGAAGAAGAGAATTGCCGACTGTTGACCGTAGCCTAGGGCCTAGGGAGTTTGGGATCTTCCAAAATAATTGCAGGTTTCCTTAGTCGAATCATGAGTGAATCATGAATTTGGGACATGCGGCCCAAATAAATCTCATGGGTTCGTCTATCTTCACATCTCACATAGTTACTAAGTGTGCGCAACTTTGGTGCTCAATCACCTTAAACTGTTGTCGGTAGGGTCATACCGGTCAACGGCCATCTCTAGGGTTGATTGAAGCCTGCTGGAGCACTCATTATAGTAACGGCATAGCTGCCGTTTCCGCAACCGTGATCGCCACAAAATGCTGCGGTGACACAAAAATAGGTTGAAGGTCTGCGCTAAACGACCTCTGCGAACTTTGAAACACAAGGTTACAGGCTGTCTCAAAGCCAGGGCCTCGGCTTCGGCCTGTCTTTCGCCCTCTCTGCCAGCTGTCTTTGTGGCTCCATGAGCACTGAATAAGCGGAGGGACCCAGGAAGGACGGAAATCTCAATCTTTTCAAGGGACGCGGTCCTCGGCAGCGAAGGTCAGCTGAGGCGGCACCTTTCGCTTCGACTGGAAACGCTTCGGCAGCTTGGCTCCGAAGGCCTCGAAGTTGGCGTCGAAATCACTCACAGGGACGACCTGCTCAGTGGTCTTACGAACATCGTGGTCGGATGTCGGAGTTCCGGCAATTTCACTACCGAGCTAGTTAAAGCAGCAATGCGATGGGCTCGCTGGCTAGTGTTGTTCTGAGCACCGTTGCTGTGGGGAAAAAGTGCTCATGAATTCAAAACGTAGGCAAAAATGCGAGTGGAACATCGACAGCGACCGGCATCGTCACAGGTAGGGGCAAAGTCGATGTCGTTCCTCGAACAAGCCACATACGGTGATTGTCAGAACTAGGGTCCCGTGTGGGCTCCCAAACAAAAGGGTGCCGTATCGAGAGCTCCACCAAGGACCATCATATTGACAGTTACCCACACCCACGTATCTTCAGCTTGGTCGCCGGCGCAACAGTCCGCATGGGAAACCACCAAGTTGTTGCGCAGTTGGGAAGAGTGGCTGTGAAGCCAGGCTACGCAATGAAAAACGCACGAACACATTAAACGGAAGAAAGATACGAGCCAACAAGCTTTAATCATTCGAGGCTGCCCGGCCATGCACTCTCGAGAGCTCATCTCGGATCCTGGATGCCAGAAGAACCGACAGCGGGTGTGCCGAGCTTGGCATAGCTGCAGTCACATGCCAGATCCAAGTTTACGCATCCCGAGGATCGCAATTCCACACCCTCCCCAAACATCTCAAAGTAAAGTGTTCCCCTTAGAGATAATGTGGCATGCTGAAGCCGTTGGCAATCGTGGTTACAAGCGGTTGCCGCCATAAACTCATGTCGCGCTACATGAAAGTGGTACAGGGTCGCAAGAATGAATCTCCAACAGCAGGCTTCAACAGCAGTCCACCAAGAAAAAAAAATGCACGACCAAGTGTGCACACATGAATGTGTGGAAACGCAAGTGCAGCGAGAGAACAGTCCTTCTTTCCAGCCCTCTGCAAAACAATGGAGTAGAAACCCAAGCAAGGACGCAAACAAACAGCAAGATGAGTTACGAAGTAGATGCGACAAGTTGCACCGATTCGCTGTAGCAGCAAACATTAACGTTCTGCTAATGGCCGAGAAAAGGTACGCAGTTGAGGATTTTTTTTTTGCTTCGGGGCTCCACTGGATGTGCAGGACTTCGGCAAGGGTATGGTCCATTGGAGTGCAGTACTACATCTTAGGATCTTGTTGGTCAGGTCGCAGGTGATGCCTTCTGAATATTTTGTAGATGCCGTTCGTCTCTATGTCCGTGTGCATGTCTGTATGTAGCTGTTATGTGCCGCTATGCTAAATTACTTCAGCAGCCAGCTATCTGTACTCGCTGTTTCATGCACTTTGGCACTCCTGGTGCCTGCCAGCTCGCCCCGCCCAGCTGCTGGTCCAGTGGATTTACAAGATCGCTGGAGACGCATTCCGGCGTTGCGGAACCAGATACGCACCACTGCCCGGTGTCTGCATTATGAGACAGGAAGCCTGCAGGCTGCCCGCTCCAGTCCGTCCCGCTGAATTCAGGTCGGCCAAAAGCATCGCGGACAACCGCATCGTAGATCCCTTGCTCTGCTGGGTCGGGAGGCACGCGGCCGGACCCGAACTTGGTCATGCGCACGGGGTTAGCGGTGATCTGGCAACATCGGAAACGGAAGTTTGTCCACCTGCTTTTGGAGTCAATCTCAGCCTGAATGGCTTGAAGACCACGGTCCTTGCCACAGTCCACGTCGATTCGGGAGGTACTCCCGTCGATCGTCTGTTGCACCGACGTCTCCTCGGTACAGGCACCCAGGTTGGGCACTTCCACGCACAGGAACTTGACAAAATCCGGGCTCTTGTCGAAGCGTTGCATCACCGTCCCCGGCTCACACACGCAGTTGATGTCGTTGCCCTGCACGGCACTGCCTTTGTACCAGGTCGCCTCCAAGGTTTGAGGCTCAGCCTGGTTCCATGGCAAGGAGTCGGGAGTAAGGATATTCCAAGTGGCGTCCCTTTCATAAGTGAGGCCATTTCCGTCTGCGGAGGAAACTGTTCTTACACCTTCAAATAAAGCTGTGAAAGCCAGCCAGCCCAGGTACGTCCCCCGGTCTGGCACCTCCCAACTGAATGGGACTGCATTTGGCAAAGTGGTGATCTGCATTCTCGCCCCACGGTTTAGAAGGAATTCTATGCCGTCTGACGCTGTGTCGAGTGTGAAAGCCTGGTCCTCCCGCGCTTCGCACTCCTCACTCTCAACAGCACATTGGCAACAACTGTTGCGCGACTCACTCCCATGGCAAAGGGAGGTGGGGACAGATGGGGACAGTTGCTAGGTCCTGATTAGCCTAATAATGTCCTGCGACTATCTTCGACTCAGAGAATGCCGTTTGCATGTCATGCTGGGACTTCAAGTGAAATCTGAACCCGCTCTGCCGCTCCTGCAGTTGGCCAATGCACCCGCCAGAGCCTTGCGTATCTGGCTGGCATGGCACTGCGGCGATGCACTTCTGCCAGCGGCTGTTCCTCAGTTGAGCTCGATTCCGCATTGCGCAACGCAGATGCAGTCGCTTCCGCGCAAGACAATGGTCCCGGAAACGCTGTGGAGCATGTTCGTGCTACGCACCCCTGAGCCATGCCATGGAGCCATCGCAGTTTTGCTTCTCGTCTCTTGGTGTCATTTGGGATAGGTTTCAAGACTGGCTCCAATGTCTGAATCTAGTGCTGAAGGAAAAGCAAGGCTAAGACTACGAGGCTTCCTGCATTCCGTAGCATGCTTTTTTCATCATCGTTACACTTTGTTTCTCGTCGCGTGGAATTTGTTTCCGTTTTCGCACGGACTTGAGAGCTCCCTTCCCCACTCGCCACAAGACTTATTTGTTTTCTTTTTTCGGTGACACCAGGTTTATCTCGACTTGTCTGTCTAGTTGTTATTTCAGCTTCGTTTGTGCAGACACAACTACCCTACGTCGAATCCGTATAGCAGCATTCAAACACTCCTGATATCCCCTGATCATCGGAACCAATGACCTTGCAGTGGTGCCTCCGGAGAAACGGCCTGCCGTCACATGACCTAAATGACGCTATTAATGCTTGTGCCGAGCGGATTCATGCACAAGTCCGTGCACTGGCTGAAAACTTTAGCATTGCCGCTTTTTCTGCGGCATAACACTGCTACAGCTGGTCTTTCTCATTTTGGTATCTGGCGCGTTTCCATGATGAGCTGTTTTGGATACTTGTTCATGATGCTGCGGCCTTGTTCGTAGCCATACGAAACAACTTCTCTGGATTCTGGATTTTCAGCACGGCAATGCCATTTGTCAGCAATCGCAAGTGGCGGATTCTTGGGCACGTTCGGAATGGATCATGCTCGCAACAGCGCAGGTGCACTTTTCGGTCAGAGGGTTTGGCATCCACGCCCGTGCAGAGGCGTTTGTATAGTCGGTGCCGCTAGATGACACTTCTGCTTTTAGTCCGCCCCCATAGAACGGTTCGACCAGTGTTGTCAAGACCAGTCGCAAAAACACACAAGCTAGTTTGCAGTTGTTCGCCTGCTGGACCTGACAGTGCCTCGGCTCACAGAAAGCACATCGAGGTCTCGGCTGAGTTGTCTTGCGCACATCGATATTCTCAGGTTTGCACGAACTACCCCGCACTGCAGGTGTGTGAAGAAGCGCCGTTTGCAGGCAGTGTTTGGTGTCAGTTGCCACATGCCACCGCGATTGTGTAGCGAAGCTACCATTGATGCAGGAAAGAAAGGTTGACCACCTCTTCTCCATGCATCAGTTCTGACATTTATGTCTTGCTCTCGCTCTGCGCATTGCTTACTTTGATACACTACTGCGCATCACTTCATGTGACCACTCTTGTGGTTAATGGAAAGCTCCAGACCTCCGAAGGGCATGCACACGAAAGCCACGCAGGAAGAATTGCACGACCGTCTCTGTGTGTGCACGCGCGCCACTGGACCACTAGAATTCACAGGACTTTGCATTTACTGACTTCGGTCCAAGTTCCAGCTTATCACCTCTGTGCAGGGTGCACAGCAGACTTTGTGAGGAGTCTTGCCTGTGATATCTGGCCTGATGAGCCAGACGTATGCAATTTGCTTCCACGCGTGTGACATTGCGCACCATCTTCTCTGTGCACTGTCTTCTGTCACATTGGTGCATCGTCGATACTATTGCCGCTTGCAAGGCTGCTCGTCGCGATTGAAGCCTGTCTAAGGATCGATGACGGACACGAAGCAACACATGAGGCCAGCTGGTGGTGTCACCGAAAGAGTATGTATCCTAGATCTTGCAATCTGAGTTGCCTCTGTGGAGGCCTCTGTCCTTTCTTGTTTTGCAACTTTGCAAGTGAATGCAGGAGACCAGCCATTCACTTCGAAAAGGGCCAGTATAGTGGCGATATCGCTCTGGATGCATGTCGACGTATCAGCAGAACCGACGTACCAGCAGAAAGTAACAGTGTTGCTATCAGTTGGCCTTGGAGCTGTTTGGAACTTGCCGTTGGCATCTTACGTGGTTCAACCATCATGTGTGTGTGGGGTTAGTGTTCTTCTCTGAGTTTATTAAGCTTTATCGGTTCAAGGCGAGGAGCACGAGCTGGAAGCTTAAGCTCACACTTTTCAAAGGCTTCTGCGTCGCCGTGGTGGCCACCACACAAGTGCCGCTGATTTGTGTCCTACAGGTAGTGACGCAGCAGACTCTCACCAATGTCTCATCTCCTTGACCTCTGCTCGAGTTGCACCGTCCTTGTAAACATGATTTTCTGCAGCACCCTGCTGCTGGCATCAGCCTCGCAGTCCAAATCCCCATTAACATCGAAGAGGGTCTTCGCGTTGGACACCGGGGTAGCATCCACCTGGTGTGCGGGTGACGATCTGCCCGGAAAATCCCCGAACCCTCTCAATGGCCTTTGCAGTGCCCCAGGACTTCACGATTGGTTTCGATGAAAGATGCAGCACGACGAGCCAAGCCGGAACTCAAATTGATTTCCGTGTGCCAGCCCGAGCTCAGAACCATAATGAAAAAAACTATGCAGACCACGAATTCCGCCTCTGCTTGGTTTTCGGTCTTGTATTTGTCGTAGAGTGCGCTGGCCACCAAATTCCCGTCCAGCAGCTGTTCTGCCGAGTCGGCACAATCCTCCAAATCAAGGGACCCGCCTCAGTAGTTGGCAAATGCCAACAGTGATTTACTTCGAATATCCCTTATAATTATTTTCACTATTTTTATTACTATCATTACTAAAATGAGCAAATTAAGCACATATTCATGTAAGTCCTATGCTACACAACAGTATACCACACTACGATATAATCGATATGTATATGTATAATGGTGTCTACTACGATATCCTTATCCATGCGTGAGTAGCAAGATCGATCTCAGGCTCCAGGCTTCAGATCCAACTCCAACCACCCGTGGTTCTGCATCCTACGGTCAGAAGGCCGGAAGCCCGCCTAGAAGTGATTCTTTGCATTTCTTTGCTGTAAGCTTCGGATTAGGCAAACACCGCAGAAGCTTGGGCCCAGTGGCTTGCAGTGCTCAGGCACTGGCTCTCGTCTGTCGCCGACACGAACTGGCGCCTTGAATCCAGCACTGCTGTTGCTCAACGCTTGCTGCCGTTCTTGATGAAGGTTGACAAACCAACAGCTTGCAGGCTGTTTGCTCTTCGGTGGACATCAGTCCACCTCATGACATACTGCCTTCCGTTAATAAACACATTCCCCAAGCACTGGCAATTCAGAAATCGAGCCTGTGCATAGGCCCATCACCAACAGTGAAAAAGAGTTGATCCAACAGCATACATCAGAGACACCAGTCTGGACAGCAACTGCAGCTGCCGGCTGACTTCGCGCAACATAGAACCATGCCAATGCCACTTGCAGAAACAAATATGTAGTGTAGTAACGACTTCGAGTCATACTCTTGTGTTGGCATGTCGACGTGCGGAACTATGTTCATTACGGTGCCGAGACGGGCCAACACAAACTCGAGACGCCAGAAGATCTTGCACAAGGTATCACAAGATATCACACGGCTTCATAGGTGGGCCTCAGGCCATGTGCGTTCAGGAGCTGGCCAGAGTTGGCCAGGCGGGTTGTTCTTCGTACGGCTCACACGGGTCTGCTGCTTGCTGCCAGGTCACTCCTGTGGCGCACCCGTTGGCTTTTGCTTCACGTAGAAATCGCCCAGAACCAGCTCGCCTGCACCTGCGAATCCCGCACGAGCCAAGGCGATGTGGACCTTGAAGCCCTCGAAGAAATAGAGCTCCTAACAGTGGCATCGTCTACGTTAGATTCCGGCACTTGAGTGGAGACTGCGACAGCCATCAAAGGCCTTCAGCAGGAGTCACAACTCGTTAACAATTAACATCAATTAACAAAACAGAATCACGCGCATAGCCGTGAGATGCCGCGAGGCTTGGTCAAAAGCCGTGCCAAAAAAACGAGCACACAACACATGTGGGAAGCAACTAACTACAAGTAGTAACTAGTACATACCAAAAGCACAGAGCTCCTGCCAGTTGCGCGAGTCGAGATCCTGGTAGTAGCTGCTGACGACCTGGACAAGGGCGATGCATGAGAATCGGCTCAAGCCGTCCGCCCCATCTCGGTCGAGCCATTTGCCATTAGCACAGATCTGCTCGAAGTTGGTTCTGGGAAGTGAGCTGTAGCGCTCGGACCAACAAGTTGCCTTGAGCAGCGTGCCATGGGCGTAGCTGCTCCGAAACAGGGACTTGCTCAGTGCCTGCCTTTGCGTAGTGCCTTCAGCTGGCACCACGGCAAACTTGCAGGGCTCGCACACCTCAACGCCGACACCCCCCACGAACAACGCCTCGTCGCACTGTTCGAAAAGGGCCTGAGCATTAGAAACGCCATGAAACACCGTACTGACACCATGGTTTTCCGAGGCGACGAGCAGCAACAAAACCATCTTAATATTTACGTGCCGTAGTGAAGAGCATTGAAGGGCCTGGTCTAAGCAGTCTGGCAAATAGAGCTCGGCACTGGAGTAGAACGCCCCGAGGTTCTGGCGTCGCCGGGTGATGTGCCAGCAAGCATCTGGGTTTGCGATGGCACAGACCTCCGTGTCCTTCGGATACGAGTAAAGGGTGCCGGAGAGCCCCAGCTCCCGGTAGAGGAACTCACAACCGCTGTAGAGCCTGCATTGCTTGGCCGACAGCACTTCGCCAGCAAAGAAGTACCGGCACTCAGACTTCTTGGCACACTCCGCTTGGCATTCTTCGAGGTCTGCGGCCTGCACGTCGGACTCCACGATGACTTGCAAGAGGTCCTCTGCCTTGACACCACAGGCGAACTGGCCTGTCAGGATCGGGAAGGGTCTTGGCCGGAAGACGTTACGGCTCCCTGCCGGGATCTCTCCGAAGGCTTCGGCTGTCACGGGATCGTTCTGGCCCCAGAGGTGTGGGGCACAATGGCAGGGATGCAGCCAGTAGTCGAAGGGGATCTCTGTCAGAGGGTCGTCCACCATCACCGCCACTGCGCCGTCGGCTGTCTCAGCCCGGTCATCAGCCTCGCTCTGGGTCAGATTGGGTGCATCGCAGCGCAGCAGCTCCACTGCAGCTGTCAAGGTGTCCGACCCACCAGCACTGTACGTTATCGGAAAGGTAGCGGTCCCCTGGTTGAAAACATCTGCGATCAGGTCTATGCCTCACCATGAGCAAGGTCGGCAACTGCAACAAGAAGTGCCGTGCCCATGCAAAGGCCGAAATATGCCGAAATCTAAGAAAGCAAGCAACCTGAGTTGATCGTAGCCATCTCCTCGCCAGAGAAGGTCATGTACGCAGCAGAGGCATTGTAGAAGTCGCCTGGAATTCTCAGTCCCTTAACTCAAGCCCCGATCTCTCTTTCACCCGCACGCCTTGGGCAGGCTTCTGCAGAACCCACACATCGAAGTCACGACTCTTGCGGTGTAACCAAAAACTCTCAAAGCTGGTGATGCCCTCCTTCAGGAAGACTAGACCACCTCTGCAGGGACCATTGTCATTATCCAGTCGGGGTACTGAAACACTCGCACAACGGCAGGCTCGGGTTGAGGGGCCGGGTGTTTCGACTCGTCATGACCAGAGCTTCGGCTACCACATGGAAACTATACGGCCCTAGTCCGCTCTAGAATGCCCTGAAGGTGGGTCCAGCTCGGCGTTAGTCCGAGCATTCGGTGGTCTCAAGAAGCGAGGTTTGCATCTGGTGACGCTGTGATTTTACTGCTGATCTCTTCCGGGGCTTCGATTCCGGAGACGGTGCTGTCGAGTCCCGAATGCACAGAAAATTAGGAAGCTACGATCACAGGACATGCAGCGTCGAACCCAAAGCCTGGCACGCTTAAACTTCTGCGCGCATGACAACTCGACATGGAACATGTCTCTACATTGCATTTGGTGACCTTGGGATGCTTCGTCTTATGCCGAGCAATTGCAGTTAGACACTTTAGCAATGAACTAAAGAATTGATCAGCCGTATCTGCCGTCCGACCCCGGTAGTTGTTCTCGCCGTAGTAGCAGTAGCGCCCGGACAAGAAGTGTTTGGACAGGCTCAGCTGGATGCATGTAGTCCGCTCCGCGCAGCCCAGAACTCGAGCGAAGACGCTCCCACTCGCCTGCGGAACATGATGGAGAGCCGCAGGGGGGCAAGGAGAAAAGTGCAAAATACAATCAATCTGAGACTTCATCTCTTGGTATCCTCAGCCGCCGCGACAAGTTTCGGATCAGGCCAGTTGTTTACTGCAGGACATGCCGAATTATGAAAGGACCCGCTGCGACAGAAGCCTGTAAGACGGAAAAGCTCATTAATACCTACCTAACAAGTTCTTCCTTAACAGGTGGTAGCACTAGAGCACCAGAAGGTTCTTTCTCACTTAACTTTAGGACATCATGAACAAGTAATGAGATGAGGTGACCGAGCGCGAGGGGAGAGCGAGCACTTGGACCAAAACACTCGCAGCGCATGCCGACTTCACTGTAAAATCCGATTCTTCGGGGCCACTTCAGCCTTTAATACCATCTTGGCACCTAGACCTAGACTTTCCTCGAACTGCTGCTGGAAAGCCGAGTCACTTGTGAACAGCCAGGCGTTCCAGCATCTGGGCAGAGCCCCTTGTACAAGTAGCAACTTGTAGAGCTGAGCAAAGAATAGTAAGTGCAGGTAGAGTCCTTTCGACATTCAGTACGACATTGAGTCGGGCCAGAAACTGTCAGCGAGCGCTGCTCAAGAAAGTAATAGTTTCCCGTCTTGGGAACGAAGCATGTGTCGTCCGTTGCTCCCAAGTAGATTACTTCCTGCAGCACGGGCCCATCCCCGAAGGGTGGGAACTGGTAGAGACCGTAGATCGTGCAAGAAACGGTCAGTGCCGCCCGAGCTCCTGCATCTGTGGGCATCAAGCTAGCGAGCTCTTGCGATGGGGCAAGCCGCACAGACCCAGTGGTCAGGTCCATGTCGAAGAACGGGAAGCCCTGGTAGGTTCCCTGGCCAGTAACTGTGTCCAAGGTGACGATGCCTCCATTTTCACTGGAGCACTTGCCAGTGAAGGCTGTTGGGGGCACCAGCCGGATGGCCTGGTCCGGCACCTCAACGTTGACCGTGGCGGCAACCTGCCCGACAGTCACCTGCAGGTGACACGTGAGGAAAGAGTCCGGCATGTTGAACAAGCAGATCAAATCTGTCAGTTATGCTCTCGCCCTCGGACAAGCCAAAGTGTGGGAAATGGCACTCGTCGTCGGCACTGCAACTTAAACCCATCTTTGGCGTCCAGGTATTGTTCTGCTTGATAGCGTTCTTCCTCTTCGTTGGTTTCGTTTCATGGTGCACATGTTACTTGAAACACATAAGCCGATGCTGTATCTGCAGACAAAAACAAGGAAGGAACGAACACCACCACCAGCAACAGGAACAACAGCAGCAGCAGAAGCAGCAGAAGCAGCAGCAGCAGCGGCAGCAGCAGCAGCAGCAACACCACCACCATTACCACCATTACCACCATTACCACCATTACCACTTACCACCATTACCACCACCACCATTACCACCACCACCACCACCACCACCACCACCACCATCACCATCACCAACAACAACACCAGCCACCACACCCACCACACCCACTGCACCCACTGCACCCACCAGACCCACCGGACCCACCACACCTACCAAACCCACCAGACCCACCACACCAACCACAACACCACCAACACCAACACCGAGTACACGTACAAGCACAGGAACAACAACCCGCCGCATGGTTTTTTGTAGGGGATTTTTGCGTTCAAGTAGTGTTCCCAGCACAGTTTTAAGCACATTTCAAGCGTGTTTGGGCAAGGCTGGGAAATGTGTGGTTTCAGCACGATTTTGGGCAACCAAAACATAAATGCCACATTGGACGTTACAGGTCAGGAATTCCTCGGTATTTACAGGCTTTGGCAGGTTTTAGGCTGAGAACTAGCTGTTTTCGGCGGGGGCGGTTGTTTTGCTGGGGCACCGTGCAGTTATTGTTGTGTTGAGGGTCTTAGTCGGAAGATGCTTGAAGGAGTCTGCAGATTTCTTCCAAAATGTGGGAGTGCATACCCCAGCACCGAAAGGCATAGCCGAAGCTGGAAGTAAAAGCTGTTAGATTCTAGCATGCCTCCGAACATGTGTCAGTACACGTGATGCTTCTGCGAGAGTTCTCCCAACCCCAAAAGCCGAGTCTGGCTGCTGCTACACACGAATTAGATTCAAAAGACACCCTCAAGCTCTAACCTCATGGGGGTGATGTGAGTACCTGCACGTAAACGATGACCATGCCGTGATGATGGTGGCGAAGTGTACGTTATCAGCGCCCCCCCCCCTCCCCCCCCCCCCATCCCCCGACCTCCCCTAAGATCCCGAAAACAGACAAAACGCACAACAATAATCCATGCGCTAGCAAGAACAAGAACACCCACAACACCACCACCAAACCGCCACCACCATCACCACCACGAGCAGCAGCCGCAGCAGCAGCAGCAGCAGCAGCAGCGGCAGCAGCAGCAGCGAAGGTTTAGAGTGACACGGTTTAGGCACTACCCCAGCAGAAGACAGCTGAGTTCGCAGCGACTAAAGCATCAAGGCAAAGAGCGAGTGCAGTGAGTAGTTGCATATGTCCCCCACTTCAGGGAGATAGCAGTGCTACTTGCCTGCAAGTTGTCGTTAAGGTAAACAGCGGAATCACGGATAACGCAGGACAGCTATAAGATTGAACAGAGTTATTGGCAGGTGACAGGTTCCCCGTGCATTTCGGTGGAGCGGGGTTCCCTGCAGGTGACAAGTGTAAAAGCAAGTTGATGGTAAATTTCATTGTGACACTTACGCAAGGCAGGTCAGGTTCAGCTGCCATCCCCCGCATGTCGCACAAAACTAGGAGTCTCTCTTGTTCTCCCGGGCTTAAGGCGAGTTAAGCCCCAGGGGCACTAAGGCCCGCCCGTCGCTTTACGGACTTTTGGAGGGGTGTGAAAGAGGAATGGTTTCGCTGTTTCACGACTGCAACGGCCGCATTAGCTTGTTATTTACATCTACGATTTGCAATCTTCAAACATTCTGTCAGTACACGTGAATTGTCTCAGCTGTGCCATTCCCCCGATTCTAAGACTGAAAAGGGGTAACATGATACATAGGTAACCCAAAGACAAAGAGCATGGGGCGACTGTTTGTGAGGGATAGGCTTTGTGAGTTCTGGATAAGGTTTGCAGAGACAACTTCCCCGCTGTTCAGATTCGCAAGAAATGCAGCAACTCAAAGCGAGGATGTTATCTGCATGCGGTGCAACTACTCCTACGCGAGTTTGTCGTTGCATTTCGCGTTTTTGATGTTTCCCCCATCTGCACACACGCAACGACTGGGGTCGCTGCAAAGTCCTTGCGTTTGCCGTTTCCGCAAGAGCACACCCCGTGCACACCGTCCCCCAAGAGTGAACAACTCGTGTGAAAGCCGGCGTGGCGCGGATCGTTTTTTGCAGCCTTCTGCAAGTGCACACCTCCGGGGACAGGTGAAGAACGGACCCTGAGATGCATGCGCTTAAACCTGCGTGCTGCGGTTCGTTTTTGCAGCCTTCTGCAACTGCACACCTCCGGGGACAGGTGAAGAACGAACCCTGAGATGCATGCGCTTAGACCTGCGTGCTGCGGTTCGGTTTTGCAGCCTTCTGCAACTGCACGTAAAGAAGAAGCCCTGCGCTGCAAACCTAAAACGGCTCCGCTTTGCCTGCCTGCAGTTGCAACGCCTGCGCTGTCACTCCAGGCCGGGTTTTCACATTTTTATGCATGGGTTGAACGATACCCGGTCGTACATCAATAAATGGGGGTGAACGATACCCTCCGGTGTGATTTGAAGCCAGCCTCTCAAGAAGCACATCAGCGGCATCACAGCAAACAGCACATCAAAACGAGCCATTCCCGATGTAGACGCTCGATTTTGCAAGCAGCCGCTCAAGAAACACATCAGTGGCATCACAGCAAACAGCACATCAAAAGCACTCATTCCCCATGGAGACGCTCGATTTTGCAAGCAGCAGCTCAAGAAACACATTAGCGGCATCACAGCAAACAGCACATCAAAAGCACTCATTCCCCATGTAGACGCTCGATTTTACAAGCAGCCGCTCAAGAAACACATCAGCGGCATCACAACAAACAGCACGTCAAAAGCACCTTTCCCCATGTAGACGCTCGATTTTGCAAGCAGCCGCTCGAGAAACACATCGGGGGCATCACAGCAAACAGCACATCAAAAGCATCCATTCCCCATGCCGACACTCGATTTTGCAAGCAGCCGCTCATGGACCCTGCAACAAACCAACACCGCAGATCATCATCTTCAAAGCCTTTCCCCCATGTGCACACCGAAACGCAACGACCCCGCAACAAAGCTTCCCCCGAAGGCTTGGCGCTGCCACGAACGAAACGCAAGGACTTTCCCAACTGGGAGTACCGGCCAAGAACGTTTTGCTGACTTCCTTGTCTAAGGGTTACCGAGTGCTAAAACGCACCATGCAACCACCATAACAAAATAGGCTAGTATTCGCAACTCGTCCTATCCATTTCCGGAAGTCAGACCCCCGCAGTTGCTATGACAGAGGGCTTACCCGGGACAGGCTCAGCTTGCGATTCCCCCGATCTGCCTCTCTCTTCTGCTTCCGCAGGGCATAAGGGGCGGGTCAGGCCCCCCGGCCTCATGGGCCCCGCATGTGTTATGGGGCTTTCGGCGGGGCGTGAAAAACATCGATTCCCCCAGTTTGGTTCGGAAAGTATATTGGACTATGAATTGACTGGGTTCATCGATAGTTGGTGGACACGTGCACGATCCTTGTTATGAGTATTGGGTTACATTTCATTCGTCCGTACTAAGTAGCATAGTCCCCCAATCCTCACTTGTATGGACCGACAAAGCACTGCATGCATGGTTCTCTGCCTCTCTCTCTCTCTCCCCTTCTTTGCCTGGAGTCTGCCCACAATGGTCCTCGCTCTTTCGTAGCGAAGATTCTCCCAAACACTTGGCAGGATCGTAACGAAGTAAGAAATCACAGTCTCCACTGGCGGTGGGAATTGACCTGTGCCTTCATCCATCTGTGCAAATCCTACCGGGGTGGACGTGCCCCGGACGCGACAGATGGCCCCTCTCATGTCGAAGCCATCCGCAAGGACGCCTCCAGCCGACGCAGCTTTGTCAGGATTGGGCCATCGGACCCGCCCCCTCTGACCGAGTCTCAACTCCGCGGTAATGTCCGATGGATCACAGTTCAACTGGTCAAAAGACCAGTCCCCCATCACGACAGGATCGTACCGATTCGTCACATCTGCGCGGAACAGCAACCTGCTGCGCGGCTTGCAAGGCAATGCGAGTCTGAGAGCTACGGATAGTCTTTTCAAGACTCAAGACCTAAACAGCGGAGCAATCCAAAAAGCATCAACTGTTCGCTTCGTCCGTGATTGACGGAATCGGAGGTGAGAGAGAGAGGGAGGGGTCGACAAAACAAACAGCTATGACGCTATGAGTCCAGAATGCCGAGAAGATCGCCTCACAGCTACTGACCTGCAATCGCTTACGTCGCAACCAAACAACCAACCAGCTACTCAACCAGTGCATCTTCACAACCATGTCCACCAAGCACGACTGCTGGGCTGAGGAACGGATACTGTCCATAAGAGATGCTCTTCTGGGCCACGACCGTGAGAGTCGCAGAGGCCGACAGGCTGCTGGTCTGATGGGCAACGATGGTGCAAGAAATGCTGAAAGCCTGTCGGATCCAGCACCGGGCGGGAGCGTGGGGGGATGTGGGAGTGCTGAGGGCTGAGGGTTGAGCCTCCAAGAGATTGCGGCCCACCTTGTCAGCCCCCGGAGCGATCTGCAAACTGCCTGTCGCCTGGGCTTAACGGAAGAAGCAGGACACTGCCGGCTGCCAATTGCAATGCAAGACAGACAGTCATGACAGCACCACATGGACAAGCGTCACCATTGATAGCCAGCCCGTGCTCCAGGAGCTTACAGTCCTCATTGATGGTGTAGTTTCTGGCGGTCCGCGGAACTGGGAAACCAGTGATCGAGGTTGCAAAGAGTACCGTCGGCGCAACATAGTAGGTGAAGGGCGTGGCGGCCCGCTGTCCACCACCGCACCCGCAGCAAGCTTGTTTGGAAGAGAGACCATAGTACGCGGTGTCACTACAGACTGCTTGGATGCAGTTCTCGCCGTCCAAATTCGTCCAGCCTGGAGTGTCCACACAGGCCTGGCAACGCCCTTCGCCGGCAACTTCCACAAAGCCAGGAGAACACTGAGCACAGCTGCTGCCATCGAGCTGGAAGCATCCTGGCAAGGGCAAGAGCCGATTTGGCTTCCGATCCGCACTGCAATCCCAAGCTGTCAAAGAGAAGCAAGATTCGTGGCACCCAGCTTAGCACAATGGACCAAGTCCATTCTGGAGGTCATGGTCAAACATGATGGACTCCCAGGAGGCAAACCGCACAGGCGACTGGCCTACTAGCATTTGCAATCTCCATACTCATATAGGCCAAACATTCCTTTCACATGCCGGTATCTTGCTACAAGTATTTGGTGTCAATTTAAGTGCAAGGGGGTCAATTACACAGGCCTTCAGGACTCTTTCTCTTCGGAATCATGTCGCCTGGCCCGGTCCTGCGCAGTAGAGGGCTGCCGTTGGACAACAGACATAGTCTCCCTGGCTCAGGTCGAAGATGGGGAAGCCGGAGGAGCAGGACCTTAAAGGACCGAATGATGTTCAGAAGTTTAGCAGGTGTGAAGTTGACATGCGCGTGTCGTCCCTCTGGTCAAGAACCCCCAAAACCATGCTTCTTTTGTCCTCAGGCACAGTTTGCTTTGGGAATCTCGCCTCTGCGATGGAACAACATGTGCCGTCTGCGTCAAAGCTTGTGGCGCCCGGCACGTCTCGAACAAGTCCTTCAGGGTGCTGTCTCAGCTTCTGCGCTCAACCTCACGCCCGAACAACCGCCTCAATCCCCCAGTCCTCCTTATTGCGAATCTTCCGCGAGCCAAGGATCGGCACCTTTTCTGTTTGTTTGCACCCGGCCAGCTGCAGAGAATTCGTCTGAACTGAAGACTGAAGGCTGTTGCAAGAAAGGACAAAGACTTCGAGTGTATGAGGCCTCATTGGGTGCAGGTGCCAGGCATGTCTCGTTGGAAGCACTGTGGAGAGCTTGGAAACTCAAGGATCAAAAGTCAAGAGCTTCAGAGCACCCCGAAAGCCTTTCTGTCGACCCTTCAGGACGGCCTCTGCGTCGGCGTCAGCGGTGTCAATGTCCACATGCACGCCTGCCACTTCCAGGCGGTGGAAGAGCCGGCCCACGATATCCTTCAACTTTTCCTGGCTATGCTTGCGCCATGCAGCAGATGCAGCACGCTCGACAAGACAATTGCTTGTGAGCAGAGCGGGAAAATCAACTGCACTAGAACCTGATGAGAAAGAGGAAAGGTCCAGACTCCGCAATAACCCCTGAGAGGTTTCGGAGGTCCCGTGTCCTCCTGCTCGAGGGCGTGCTGCAGCAAGTCTTCTGTATTTGGATTGCGATTGGTGCCAGGTCTCCGGGAAGCTCGCTTTTGAAGCATCGTGGTTTCGGACACTTCGCATGTGACATTATGGCCATGGGCCGTGACCAGAAGGCCACACACAGTGGCTCCGACCTTCAGAAACGGGCCTGATCTGACAGAGCTCAAACACCACCAAGCCTTACTTCCTGCAGGTACGCACGGTGAGAAACTGAGGCCTGCACTCATCTTCGGGGACAGAAGCGGCACATCAGATTCAGTTGTTCGTCGTGCAGCAACGCGGCAGACTAACTACCCAGGCCTGATCTTCTTTAACTTTCTCAGATTCTCTGTTGGATTGAGCTGCAAGGATAAAGGACCATGGTCTTTCATGGGGTGAACCACTGAGTTTGGCGTCCCAGGCACTCTTGGCAACTTGCGAAACAAGTTGTGCTGCGTTCAGTCACGCCGAGGCCTGACACGAGTGAGAACTAGTGCCTTCCAAGCCAGTAACCTCTGCATTTTGCTGAGTGCTACTTTTGGCGTACTTTTCGTCTCCACATGCTGCGGCGAGATCTGTCGGTCGAGTTATTGACATTGAAATCGGTGCAATTTCTGCAGGCGTCGATTCAATGAATGTCTGGCTACGTCTAGCCGGGTCTAGCCCTAGGGGCATTGGGAAAAGGTGCACGAGCAACGGCATGATGCTTTGCCATGCCTGCTTGTTTAAAGAATCATAAATTAAGAGAGAAATGTGTGGGCCCCTTCGCCTGGCTGCAGGCAAAGCTGAAGAAGCTGCTGTCCATGAGTGGTCCCCGGTAAGTCCCAGGATCCTTGAGCTTTTTGGCCTATGCCAAGAAGCTCCGAGCTCTTGGACGGCTGCTCCTAGCGCTTGAGATGCCCCAATGCAGCCGCACACTCTCGAGCGGCCTGCTCCCAGCTCATATCCTTTGGAGGAGTGGGTGCGAGGCCAGAAGTTGCCAGTGCCTGGCTTGTCTCAACATCCTTGTCTGAATAACGTTGACCAGATGCCACCAGGCTGATGTACGGAGCTCCAGCCTTTCCGAAGGTAATGCTGTCAAGGTAGCTCGGCATCATGCCATAAACCTCTGCTAAGTCCTCCGTGCGGGGGAAGTTGCCTTGGAAGGCCTTGTCATGGCACCAGAACAGGACCTTGGTCTGCGCCCACATTGTCGCATCCCTAGACCTTTCCATGTGGATCAGCATTGGCACGGCAGCGCTGTGCCAGTCGTTTGCAACAACAACGCTACCTTGGCCATAGGGGAAGCCACCCAGTGGAAGCTCACGGATGGCTGCTACCGCTGCGCGACAGAAGTATGCAAAGCGGAATTGGTTATCCTCAAAGTCCGCATCTTTTCCGTTGCCGTAGAGTCGGCCTTCGGTCTTTGTCGGGATTTTGCCAAGGAACATGTGATTGTCGACGAACACATAGTCGACACCTTCCACGAAGGCATGAAAGAAGTGGAGTGTTTCCTTGTGCGCTCCCATCTCAATCTGCTTCCAGAAGCCTGAGGGGACAAGGAATGCCACAGCATGAGATGAGGAACTGAGGAACTACAAATGCCATGATCTTTGCGAGTGCTCTGGGGCTCCTGCCTGTGTCCCACGCTTCGAAGTACTGGTCGTAGCGCGGGGCAATCACCATGACACGATGACCAAGTTTTGCCATGGCCTTTGGCAAACCGTCCATGGCTTCTCCAAGACCGCCGGTGGTCGAGAACGGTGCTGCCTCGGAGGTCACGAAAACCGCCTGCAGTCGGTTCTTCATATTTGGCTGCGAGGAAATAGACTGAGGGCGTCGTACCAAGGTGTAGTTTGCGCCAATCGTGTAGGCGGCCCCTCTCAGTACAGCCAGTTGCGAGTTGTTCTTCACCGGAAGAAAGCGAGAAGGTGGAACAAGAATCGCCTCTGCCCCAGGCAGAAGCGAAATTGCGGCACCCATGGCTGTCTCCACCTGAATGACCTCGAAACCCGGGTCTTGCTTGCTGGAGGGATCCACTCGCTTCCCGTTGGCAATCAAGGGAAGCTTGAGGGGCCCCTTCTTCAAGATTTCCTGAAGCTTCTCCAAATTCAGCCAGATGTTGTTGGTGTTGAAATACTGGTGCTTGCTTACATCCTGGAAATCCTTCTCGTCTGCTCCAGCTACTTGAGCACTTTCTCGGAGCGTCAGCCTGCCACCGCTCTCCTTGCCCTTGTCATCTTTCTTGTCATCCTTCTTCTCCTTCTCATTCTCTACGATCCGTGCCAGGTGGCCACCCTTGCGGTCTGCCTCGCCACGCACACAAACCTCCATGAGCATGGGCGCTTTGGAGCGCTCCAGGTGCCCAAGCATTCGCAAGTCGACCGAGGCACCGAGGTTGTCACTATTCGCGACGAACATGTACCTCAAGCACTGCTGTGCATTTCGGTCGAAACAACAAAATCTCAAGAACCATCGGAAACCCAACCCTGCAGCATACCGCGTGCCAGGAAACTTGTAGCCATCCTTCAAGAGACGCTCCAGGGTTCCAGAGGTGACAAGGGTGAGGAACAAGTCACCATGTCCGGGTGGACACCACTCAGCACTCGGCTTCTCTGGCCATTCTGCGGGTTTGTACGTCTCTGCGTCCACTTTTGGAGCCATGCCTTGGAGCAATGACACAGAGTCCCACTTTGCCAAGACTTCCGGATACTTTCTCATGAACTCTTTCGTATCTGCCTCGGTCGAGAAGGAATTGTAAAGCATAAAGCGCATCGGCTGCTTTTCCTGAATCTGCATGATTTGCTTTACGATGAGGTCCATGAAAGTTTCTTCATCCTTCACCTTAAGCAGACTCTTGGCTTTATCCAGGCCCATGCTGGTGCCGAGACCACCGTTGAGGCGCATCACCACCGTCTTTCCCAGCGTTGCGGCACTGGCCGGCAGGATCTGTGTCAGGCATTTGGGATTCGATGCTGGCAGAATCTTGCTCTCGCGCACGATCCCCTTGCTTCCACCGCACAATCGCTGGTAAAGGTCCTGAGGAAGCAAAAAAAGACTCCCGAATCAGGAAAGAACACAAGGCATGACAAGCGATGCGGCAATGTTAAGCGATGGGTCCATCCACCATTTGATGAAGGCCGAACTCATTCCTTTCTTGACCATCTTCGCACGGAACTCATCGGCATGGAAGAAGAATCCAAGCTCTCGTGCAGCTGCCGAAATGGAATCACTGCCATGGAAGCCGTTTCGCGTTGGGTCCATTCCGAAAAGTGATCTCAGGCACTGTGGAGCCTCCTGGATTGTCGCAGTTTTAAGGTCGCCATCGGTTGCAGCATGAGAGAGGCAACAAAACCAGTTACTGAGGTACTCATGACTAATTATGCCGCTTTAGGCTTGAACGCTGGGGATGAGTCCTTGTTCACCTTCTTCAGATCGGTTGGCCCCTTCAACTTGTCCCACACCTTCACAGCATTGACTCCCTCAAGCTCCATGATCACGACCGGGCCACTGGTCATGTACTCGACGAGCTTTGGAAAGAAGAACTTGTCCTCACGCGAGGACACCAAATGCGGACAGAGACAGATTAGCCCACCCACCCACCCACCAACAGAGTTACGCGCACGCACCCCCCAAAAAACACAAGCCAGCACGAACATTTGATGTCGGTTAAAGGTTAAACAAAAAAACCTGCAACGACGTGACAGCATTCAGTGGGCCCTTGCTTCGAGAATGCGGACGCCAGGTATTTTCCATGTGATCATTACTTGTTTTTTGGGTGGACACGGTTTTACCCAGTCAATACAGCAACTGCTTCTTGTCTGCTTGTTGAGCTCTCTTGCAGCGAGTTCCGTGCTGGAGCCTTTGAGATCCGTCAACCGAACCCCCGGGGTGAGGCCTCATGCAGTCATTGTTGGAACTTTCGAGCAGAGGCAGAAAGGTCGTTCTGCTTCCTTGCACGCTTTGATCCCCACTTGAGTTGAACTGTTCTGCTAATTATTGCTGGTTTGATAGGCCTGACCGTGAGTGGATCTATGGCCCTCTCATTTCGTTTCCGCCTGTCGTGTCTGCAATAATAAGGTCAAGAACCGGTCTTCTCGAACGTTCAGTCCCATCTCTCAGCCTTGCTTCATGTTGCTTCGACAACTTGCCACTCCCTCCCTCTTCCCTTCCTTTCCACATTTTTCAGGACAAGGGCAGAACCTGACACCCGCGTTTGGACCCTGCAGATTCGACACCTTGAACTCGCTCTCTCTTTCCCTCCGTACAGACAGGCTTTGTCAAGTCCTGCTGCTCCACGTAAAAATTCTTCACTTCATCAGATGTCAGCTGCCTCTGCTCCTTGCGAAGAATCTTCAAGCCGGACTGGGTAATTCTGCGCGTAACCTGTGCCAAGAACATGCAAACTTTGGCCGAGACTGTTGACTCTCAGTGACTCTCTTGGGCCTCGTCCAGGACGCCTCGCTTCACGGCGTCGGGCTTGATCATGGCAAAGGTCTTCTCCCGCAAGGACAAGTGCCCAGGCACCCACTTGCGGCCAGGCTTAGACCCACCATCCAGCAGCTTCTTCCATGATTCGTGGCACTTCTGGATCACCTGAGACACTGCGCAGTGTATGGCAGAAGGCAGGAATCGGCAGATGCCATGTGCCATGATGCGCCCTTGCCTTGAGGGCCTCTGCTTGCCCGAAGGCCTTCTCTTTGTACGCGAACTTGTTCGGAGCTTTGTCGTCCGGCGTCTTGTACCACCTGAACCACTCGCGAATGCCGCTAACGACTCCTGGCAACTTGAGCTCCACGTCTGTGATGTCATTCAACTCGGCAGCCAAAGGGTCCTCCAACTGAACACACAACGGGCTTCAAAGTATGAAACCCTTGCTGATGCTGTGGCACACAGCACACATGTATTTCTTGCATGCTCAGAGCTATACTGCACAAAATGTGTGAGCATATGTTAGCATGCTAAATCCAGTATCACCAACTGACACGAAAGGCTTGTCCGACGGAGGGTCGGGCGTTTCTTCTTTCCGAGGGTTTCTGTCCCTTATACTGCAATTCTTCCCCTTCGTTGTCTTTCTCTAAGTGCCCGGCCGGCATGAACCACACAGGATTCACAGCCTTTAGGGTTTGTCTCTCGTTTTTAGTGTCTTTGTTGAAGCCTTGCTTCATCCTTTCTGCAATCTCTGGTTCTGCATGCCTTCGCAGCCGCCTGTTGCATTTATGGTGTTTGGGGTGTTCGTTTACTGGTTGTTCATGTTTGTTTCAGCTGTCGAGATGGAAGTACGCTTCTGGTTGATGCAGCTGGCACTTCTGATGCCATATGACGAATTCCTGTTATTCTCTTGCTAGTTTACCCTGCGCGATGGCGGCCTCAACATTGATTGCAATGATCTTCCAGTCGAGGTCGTGCTCGTCGATTTGTGCCAGAGCACCTAGTGGCTTGACCTTGCTAATGCTTCCCAAGCCCAGTTGCCGAGAACCAATTTCCACAACATCCAATGGATCACCGTCGCCTGTGAAACCCTCGTCATCATCCATCTCGTCATTATCATCTTCCCAGGTGCGTGGCAGCATGCCGTAGTTCCAGAACATGGGGCCAGCATAGTGTCGCGGCTTGCCCTTCTTCGTGTCCTGCATGATTGGGTTTCCCTCCAATTCCAGCTGCACCTCAAACTTCGCGGTTGTCATCTTTGGAATCTCAGTGACGAAGTAGAACTGGCCTGGCCCTGCATTGAGTGGGAAATCATGCCAAGGGGAAACGGACTTGATCTTCTCAATCTCTGCTTTCTGGGTGGGCGTCTGCGTCATGCCAGCGGTGCTTTGAGCCTTCTCGGTTTGAGGGGTTTGGCGTTTGAAGCTGAGCTGGAAATCCTTTGTGCCAGGGTCTCCTTTCATGAAAGTGATGTAGCTTTCCTCGGCCTTGCATGTCTTGACAGGGGCTTTTACCTCTGCTGGTGACTGCATGCTCGGGGCGGGTGAGTGCGGCACCTCCATATTCACGAAACCGTGGGTTTGTGCGCTTTTGCTGGCCGAGGTCGGATGGCTGCGCCACTGGTCATGTTGTCTCTTGATTACCTCCATGGCCTTCTCCTTTGCCATGATCTGCTCAACCTTACAAAGAGGCTGTCCCTGTGCAACGAGGTGCCAACGAAACCACTCCCGAATGCCACTGATCACACCCTTGCACTTGGCCTCAACATCCTTGATGTCATGCAGCTGTTTCGCAAGCGGGTCGTCAAGACAAATGGCGATGACCTTCCAATGAACCATGTTCTGAAAGCTCACCGGCAGCAAACCCAGTGGCTTTACTTCTTTGATCATTCCTTGCACAATGGATGCGTTGCCGATTTCGATGACTTCCATCGGTCGGTCGTTGCCACAAAGCTTGGAAGTTGGATCGCTGGTGGCCGGGTTCCCCCAGGTCTGCGGCAGCATGCCGATGTTCCAGTAAATAGGTCCGTCGAAGAAGGCCAGCTTTCCAGCTTGCACCACCTGCTTTATTGGATTCCCGGTGCTGGACGAAACTCGAGCGATGGCGCTGGAGTTCTTCGGTATTTCGAAGACTGCGTTGAGGGCATTCGAGAAAAGGGGGATGCTATGCCAGGGTGAGATGGGCTTTCCATCCGAGGTGTAGGCAAGCTCAGGCACTCCAGCAACCTTGCGAGTTTTCGCTTCCACATGAAGCTGTTGTGCATGTGCCATGACCGCATAGCTTTTCAACATTGGTGGAAGCTGCTTGAGCAAAGGATCCACAGGAGCTCGTGGGCGTGGCGCCTTCATCAAAGTGAAATCTTCTGCCACCGTGAAGGCTTCGCTGCGAAGAACCGCAAGCTGTGCATTCGTTTTCACTGGAAGAAACCGATCCGACGGAACTATGACTGCCTTGGCATCCGGGAACAAAGAGATTGCAGCACCCATCGCGGTTTCCACTTGTACCACAGTGGAACCTGCACCGGGCTTCGGTTCACTGAACTGGGGGATAGGTGACACGACGTCATCCTTGCCCGTCGGGTCCAACTTTTTCTCGTTGGCAATCAGTGGCAGCTTGAAGAGCCCGTCCTTTGTCAGAGCATTGCGCAGCTTCTCCAAATTCAGCCAAATGTTGTTGGTATTAAAGTAGCGATGTCTGGAGATGTTCTCAAAGGCCTTCTCATCTTGCTTGTGGACTTGGGCACTCTCCCGCAGTGTGAACTTGCCGTCAGTCGTCCTGGCTAAGTGACCGCCTTTCTTGTCCTCCTCACCACGGATGCAGACCTGCCATCTTCAGCGTGAACAAGGACACAACACGAGCACCCAACTAGTAGAGAATCTTGAGTAAAATTGTTACACATGTTGCACCTCCATGAGCATGGGCGCTCCCGAACTGGCCAAATGTCCCAGAAGACGCATGTTGACGGAAGCCCCCAAGTTGTCGCAGTTGGCGACGAACATATACCTTAACTGCGAGGTCCCCTGCCTGACCAAACAAAGCAGTCAGACAGCAAAACAAGCGGTTCTCGCTGTGGTTGCTGCCTGGTGGCTTGTATCCTTCCTTAAGAAGCTGATCCAAAGTTCCGGAGAGGAGCAAAGCGGCATAGATGTCTCCGTGTCCGGGTGGGCACCATTCACAGTTGGGCTTCTTCGGGTACTTGGCCGGCGCCATGGAGTCAGTGACTTTTGGAGCCATGTACTGTTTCAAGGAAACAGCCTCCCACTTGGAATGGAAATTCGGATACTTTTTCATGAACTCCTTCGTGTCTGCCTCAGTGGAGAAAGAGTTGAAGAGCATAAAGCGTACAGGCTGCTTCTCCTGGATCTGCATAACCTGCTTCACGATGAGATCCATGAACGTATGGCTCTCCTTCACCTTCAGCAAGCTTTTCGCCTTGTCCAGCCCCATGGTCGTGCCCAGCCCACCATTGAGGCGCATTACCACTGTCTTCGATAGGAGGGACTCATCGCCAACAGGTAGACCGCTCAAGTCAGGCAAAGAACTCACGGGCAAGATGTTCTTCTCCAGAACGACGCCTTTCTTACCTTGACAAAGCTCCTCAAAGAGTCCCAACCACCAGGTGATGAATTGAGATGGCAACTTTTTGGCCAGCATTTTCTCTTTGAAAGAGCTGCCGAGCAGCTTTGGCAACGGAGTCAGCATCATTGTCGCATCAAGCAAAGGTTTTGTGATCTCCAATGCGCTTGCATCCAACTGGCCCTGCGGCGATTCGTATTTTTCCAGGTAGACGCGCATGGAGGCCTTGCCGCTGGAGCCTGTCCCGCTCAAGCGCACCACAACTCGGGCATCTCCGGAAAGCTTCAGGACGACTCCCTCCCCTGTTGTGACAGACCCATCCACCGGATCAGTGTAGACAAAGTCCTCCACACTTTGCACGCGCATCTCCTTTACTTCTTTGCCAACCTCAGATTCGCACTCAATTTGTCACATCAAAAATATTCAAAAATCAAGCCTGATCTTGGATTTGGTGAAGACTCGAATCTGCACAAATTGCTTCCGAAGTCACCATCTTGGGTCCTTCTTGCACAATCTTCTTCATGGTGGCATCAGCTTCATCCTTGTCAAGGCCATCAAAGTCATATCGCCAGTAGTAGTGACGTCCGAACTCCTTGAAGTGCTCCCTGCACCTCAAGTTGCAAAGCAAGGGCATCCCAACCAAGTAAAGTCTACAGAAACGGCTGCCAGGGCTTTTTTATCAAGGCACAAGTCTCGCACACCGACCAAAGGCTTTGTTGGGTCTGTGTTCTTGCTCGCCAATATCTGCAACCAGGCCATAGCAGCCCACATCCCGTCCTTCTCACGAACATGGTTGCTGCTGGTCCCGTAGGATTCCTCGCCTGGAGTGGGCAGCAGTGACATAATGAGGTCCGCAACAAAGAGAAAGACAAAGTTAGCATGATGCTTCCAAGAGGCCACAGATGAATGGTGTGTAAGTCTTCCCGGGAAGTTTTGTACCTGACTCCATGAGATTGCCGAAATTCTTCCAGCCGGTTGGTGTCACGAAGCAGGGAATGTTGTACTTCTTGGCAACACGGTCCACGGCACCTGTGGTCGGCAAGGAGCGTGCGCAGCCTTTTACTCCACCTCGGAAGAATGGAATGCACTGCGCATGCTGAAGGATGATGGCCAGGCTGTCGCCGGGGCTGACAAAGCAATTCTTACCCAAGATTATATTGCGATCGGCATCACCATCAGCTCCCGCACCGAAGCCTCAGCTAAGCACGATCGCTAGATTCTAGTTCGCCCTGCAGTCTCTCTGATTCTAGAGTCACAGCATTCATAGCTAGCAGCTCGCCGCGGGGAATTGGTCATAAGCCAAGCGCATGCCCTCTTTGTTGACCGCCAGTTTGGCCATGAGCTCCAGTGAATGGCTGAGATTCGGATCCGCGTGGCCCTTCTGTGGAGAATTCTTTCCTCCAAAATCCTCCTTTGGCGTGGCATTCATGAGGCACGACGCCTTCACCCCGAGCTCGTCAACGAACAAGCGCTTGGCGTAAGGGCCCTGTACCCCATGCATGCAGTCGTAAAAGAAGGTAAAGTCTGCGCGATGGACGAGCTTCTTGATAGCCTGTGGCGCGACAGATTTTTTAAACCGGGCACGATTTGCAATGGGCACCAAACTAACTTCTATTTTGTTGGAAGGCCTCGAAATCGAAGACCGTTTTCAAGAGTGCCACGTGGTCGTCGACAGGATTGAAAACCTCAACTCGTGCTCCACCGATCGTCGTGACTCCGCATTTAGAAAAGTCAACCTTGGGAATGGTACAGGTTTTGTACTCGGAAATGCTTTGCGAGATTTTGTAGATCTTGTCCGTGATTTTGGGTGGGGCTGGTTCGCCATTTTCGCAATTGAACTTGATGCCAAAGTCCCCGTCCACACCCGCGGGGTTATGCGAGGCCGTCAAGACAAATCCACCAAAGGGAACAAAGCCACCTTTGCGTGTGCGGATAACAGCACTCATGGCCGGGGTGCTGAGCAGCCCGTCCTGCCCAACCCAGATCTCCGAAACGCCGTTGGCAATGGCCATGGCCAAGACAACCTGCAGAGAGTACTTGTTGAAGTATCGGCCATCACCACCAAGAACCATGACGCCACCCTGCACCTTGCAGCCACTGCTTACCAGGGCATCGAAGGTGCTCTGCACATAATTCTCCAAATAGTTCTTGCCCTGGAAGACCTTCACCGTCTTACGCAAGCCAGAGGTTCCAGGCTTCTGGCCTGCGATTGGGGAAGTTGGCACTCGCTTCACCGAAAGGCGCTCCATGTTGCTCCACGCGATGGGGACCGGAACAAGCCAAAAACTTGCAGAAGTGTTCAACATCCAAAACGAGAAACACTTGCTCCAGCAGTCCCTCGATGCACGCTTTGTATGACAGACCGACTGCAGCTCAGACAATCTGTCTTTACGCGTCTGTAGTGTCTCCAAGCACTGTCCAAGCATATTCCAAAAGAGAAGGTCCTACGAGTCACCGCGTGGTGCATGGTTGCCAGATTTCTGACTGCTTTGCTGGCCGCTTGTGTCAGACCTCTTCCAATTACGGGAGCTTTGTGACTTTCTGCGCTGCTACTTGTACCGAACTCTTGCCAACATCGGTCCGGGGGCGATCTTTTGCTGAGCAGTCGGGAGGAATGTTGCAGAAGGCTAGTGCTGGTATTCGTGATACTCCCAGAATCATCCGACTTCTGGGGTGCTGCTGAGATGAGTGTCGGGTGGTGTCTCGGAGTCTCGGCTAGACTGCTCCTGCACAGTCCGAAGGTTTAGCATGTGGCGTTGTCGCGTGCATCGTGTCGTGAACCCATGCAACAAGCTTTCGAAAAGAAAGCGAGACGAGCAGTGTCCGGCCGTGGTGCGGCTGTGGCCTATGGTGCTTCACGTGGCATTTCGCATTGAAAGCGAGAACAACTGGACTCAAAGGTACTGTCACTGAGAAGCCTGTCCGGTCTCGTCTAGCCGGGACCTACCCAAGTCTTTTCCTCTTCCAGATTTCGTGAAACGTTGGAAGTCTGCAGAGCCCAGCCCGTTTAACTACCCGTGCACGGAGGCAACACCGGGTTGAGCATCGCAGAAGACCTGCCACAGCGAAAAAAGCTTGACTAGTGATGGAACAATTCACTCCAACAGTGTTCCTACAATCTCTAACAGCCTTCAGCTCTTCACAGTGCTGGATGAGACCCTGCACCTTTAGGCGTCATTGGCCACGTGAACTTCTGCGCACTATCTCGAGGCCGCCGCTTTGGATTCTTCCTCCGTTTTGAATAAGCCAACTGCCTGCGCATCCGTCGGGCACTGTGCAGACCACAAGAGATGACTCCAGGTGACTTAGTTAAGCTCTGTCAAAATCACCGCATTGCCAGCAGCCGGTCAAACGAATAAGCGTGGACAAATGGAAACAATTCTCATCTCTGAGGCTTGGTTCCGTCGCATCAAGATACTTGCAAAGTGCACTAACCATGAACCTCATAAATCGCGTGAGTCCGATACAGCGGTGCCATATGATAGCTGCAGGGTATCTGGATTTGGAAAGGCAAGCTTGTTGGATGCCCCCGCAACAGGAAAAGGGGCATGTGCTCATCGGTTGCCCCGGCTTGGCTAGGCCGTCTTCGAGGGTATACAGTACCGTCGTAAAAAACATGGGACCATGAGCTTGATTCGCACTACCACAGTACGATCAAGCGTATAAGCAAATTTACAACCTATGACAGCATATTTGGCTCAGCCACCGCGGCAAACATGACATGACTTGTCTTGGCATCAACAGGCTGAGGCGGCCGGTGCAGTCTTCACGACCGCACACACCAACCAACAAGATAACACACATAATACGCATGCAGACAATGATCACCCAGCGTGGCCTTGTCCAACAGCTGTGATGCTCGCTGATATTCCTTGGCACTGTTCGGCAAATATTCCGCCGAGTGACATTACTTCAATGAGTTGGTGCAGCAAGCACATTAGTAAAATTCAGACCGGGATGTCATTGAGAGCATTGCTTCAGCGAAGGCAGCAAATTCGCCAGCCACCTTGCCCCCAACCCATGACATGCAACGGCCTAACCCCAGACTGATCTCGACGATGCAGTAGCAACTGTCCGATTCATATCGGCTTGAGCCTGGCATGGCTTCTTTTCTTTGCTGGCCGTAGCTCGAAAACTCCAATCAAAGACAGCTGTGCTCACTCGGAGTGGCTATAGCTGATGAGACCGGCTGAAGGCCGCGGTGCGAAATATGGGTCCAGTCAGGCGCAAACAGTGGAATCAGATTCGTCATTCTGAATTCCGGCTGCTCCGGACGTGCAAACTACAACAACAATTACACCCATATCGCGCATGTTGTGAAACCTGCTTCAAAAGGGTCTTCCGCCAGGGCATCTTGCACCACTGCACAGGTAAGAGCGTGCTGCACGGGCATCACTCCCATGAATAAGCACTCAGCAACAGAGCAGCTCCGCCGGCCAGCAAGCCCCAGATGATGACGCCCTTCCAAATTCCAAAGGAGGATACACGTACTAATATCTTAGCATGACTGCTGCAGTCCCACCCTCTTTCTCTGCAGCTTTGCTGTTCTCCATGTACGATGAAACGAGTCTTTGCGGGGAGACACTTTGGCTAGTCAAGGGTCTAGAAAATCCTCTGCATGCTGATGCAACAAGGATCTCAGGAAAGAAAGCTAGGCTCCTGGGCCAAGCCTTCTGGCCAGATGTCCATGTGTTGAAGCCAACACCGTAATCCTGGTTCTCAGCGAAGCCGGCCACCTCAAGGCATTGTCGGATGCATGCTCATGGATGTTGTGTGAGCCTGTCCTCCACCCAGGTATGAGCCTATGCCGGCTGTTGGGAAAGTTTTCTATGCGCAAGTAATCCTTATGTGGGTCCCCACTTGCAACCAAACATGTCACGAACTTTCTTGCCGTGACGACTGCGACGAAGATGCAAGATTCTTCACGACTTGGTTCAGTGGCAACCAGGTGTCACCATCAAGGAATCATCATACGCAGCTCTTCGGCACTGCAGCCCCGTGTGAGAGCTAGATCCACGTGAAGCTCTTAAACCTAAGGGTCTAAACATGTACAAACCCCAACATTTTTACAACAGCAGGATTCCAAAGTTGCCCCGAACGGGGGACTTCGGCAACATTCTTGTAGGAGTTCCTTCAGCTGTCAGGCAGCCAAGACAGACATGAAAGCGAGGACAAAGTTCTTGGCAAAAGAAGAACAACAGCGGGATGAATCTGCTCCACAACTGACCGCAAATTCTGAATGCGCCCAGCTTGTGTTTCATCTAATCGCACTTGTGACGGCCCTGAAAGCTAAAGGCATTGCCGTACATTGCCGTACCCTCGCATACGGATTCATCCGCAACAGCAAAATGTTCGAGACAGTGGAGTAATGAAGCTCCGTGTTGCAATCCGTTCATTCTGCTCTGTCTGCAGAAACCGCGTTTGTCACAGAATCTTGCAGTGTTTGCTTTCCAGGCCGCACAATTGAGGCAGTTCAAAGTTGTTGAGGAGTGAGTGGCAAACCTGTGTTTACCGACCAAACACTGGAACCGCACTCCATCTTCTGGCGCGCTAAGCCTGTCTTATTTTCCCGCCGGCCTCCTCTATGACGGCCTGAAACTCATCTTTCGACCTCTGGCTTCACGCAACTTAGATCTTCCAGGGCTCCTACCAAAACCTGCAAAGACACGGGGTAAGACTGCAGCACTTGGCACTGTGGACATCGCCAGCTGCTGGGCAAGTCCTGCAGGCCGGACATCCAGGCCACAGTTGAAGGTTCGCTTCTGTGTTCAGTAGCTCTTCATGTATCAAGTTCCTGGACAAGATCAAAAAACCTGAGCGCCGGGAGCGTTCGGCCGGATCCTCGAACTTCGTTCCTGGGCCGTAGTTGCCTTCACCGAAGAGAGGATTGTACTCATATCCGCCTCAGAAAACCCAGTGATGCACAGATCTTCGGCTGAAGAGTTGCGATGTGTTGCACGTTCTAGCAACAACATCGTTGTCGATCAAGCTGCCGATTCGTGCATGTGCTAGACAGGCCCCGCACAGTTCTGGCAGTCGTATCGTCCGGTTTCTCTGGTCATGAAGACTTCAGCCTGCTTTCAAGCACAGGCGACTGGGTCAACTTATCAGCATCATCTGAGCTCGGAAGCTTGCTGTCTAAGTCCCTCTGCTGGAGCTCCGACTTCATCTGTTTACTACGCATTTCAGACTGGATAAGGAAAGACTCCGATGGCTATACGATGCGGAAGGCCATGAAGCTTCAAACGAAGGCTCACGTTGCGTTCCGTCGAAGCATGGTGAGCAACCTGCCACACCTGTCCTGCTCACAGCCCGGAGCCCCTGCCATCTTAGAATCTTAGAACACGGAGCAAAGCGGCTCCGCTTGTTTCGGCGGCACACCGTGTGCGGAGGGCCGTGCATCGTTGTAAGTTGCAGGACAAGACTGGGTGTTCGATTTTCGAATTCGGCAATTTCTCTGCGATGCCCTTACCTCCGACATTTTGCAAGGGCACCCATGAAGTCGGTGCTGCATGCTTGCGGCAAGACTGACAAGCAAACGAGTAGTGCCGGGGCATCTCGGAACAATGACGCTGCAAAGGTTGCAGTTGACCTCCAGATTGGGCCGGCCAACTTCCGGGGTCCGTTGTCTACAGTACTTGGGGATTCCTTGCAGTGCACAGAGAGAAGCGGCTTAGACAGGTCCCGACACCTTACACCAGGCGTGGCCAAAGCATTACAATGCTGTCCGTTCGGCGGGTGAGAGAAGGACTTCGTGTTGAACCCACCGGGCACATACTACAGATTCCCAGCTCGTGACTTGGGAGGCGGCGAGAACTCTGGAGAGCTTTCATTGGCTAAGGGAGTGGAGGCTCAGTGATCCTGAAGAGTGGAGCATTACTACTTCACTCCTCAGCGCAGAAGACCCACGTCCCCGCTTTCTGGGCTGAAGGGCAAGCTTTGTCGCTGCCAACTGAGCATCAACAGCTGAAGCTACTGTATGTTGGCACCTCTGGAGGAGCAAGCTCTGCTTTCTCCTCCTCCTCTGCCTGGCGATAGGGAGACAGCTAAGGCGTCAAGTCAACGGATCAGG